TATATATATATATATATATATATATATATATATATATATATATATATATATATAAAATATTTCATTATTTAAATATTAGAACAAATCAACTGCAGTCTACATGTCTTCAGATGTGTGAAATTTTTAAGTATGAATTCCTTTCTATTCCAATTTTGAGCCATTTGAAAAAAAACTGTCCTCTGAACCGCAATGGTCTCTAAAAAGATGATGCCCTGGGTGGCGAACAATATCATCCATATCTACAACTGAAGTTGGTATCTAAAATAAATGCTGTTTGCTGATGAAAAAAGCAAAAGTATCAGAAAACTTTAAAATAACTGATTGTCTGTCTTATAAATTGGGGTTAAATTAAGAGAAAGTCCTTTGAGTGCATTATTTATGACCTTAAAACTGAAAATATAAAAGATGACTAGGTTGAAAACAAAATCTGGCAAAAAAATAAAATAAAGAAATAAAAGACAAAAACTGTAGCAGATTTTTATCATCTAAATTTACAGGTGGTATTCAAGAAACATTTTTGGTTTCAGAGCAGTTCAGGCAGGGACACAGAGTTGCTTTAGAAAGTTTTGCAGTTCAGTATGAAGTCACTAATTTGTAATGCGTTGTTAATTCAGGGATTTATCCGCAGAGGTGGTTTTCCACGCCAGACAACCAAAGGCGTTATTGGAAGGCTGCCATGTTTGTTGTTTTGCTGCGTGCAATATATGGCATCTCAAAGCGACTTGGAAACTGATGACTCCTCATGAAAATTTAATGAACAACCAAATTTCAAAAACAAATAGTGCCGTTTACGAAGGCACGGGTAGATATTAATTAGCCATATCACAGCAGGAAAAAGAAGACTTGAAGGTGTGCATAAGCCTTGTTGACAGTCAGAATAAGAAGTTCCTGTTTCGGATTTTAACACTTGGCTAATGCTGCAGAAAGGCAGGCATTTGGCAAATTGGGATATAGAGGCATTTGGAATATTAACACTTGCAGCATTTCAAAGATCAGTGCTTGCTTCAAGATAAATATACTCCCCAAGAGTGTCAAGCATCAAATAAAGCTGCTCAAGGTTTTGTTTCTTGCTTTGTTTTGCTAAAAGAACATTAAGAGTAAAGTGGCCCCATGAGTTATCATTCACATCTCAGCCTGCAGTGAGACATACTGCTGGCTCTGTTCAATCTGAAAATTGAGACATGGGTAGGAGCAAGACAGCTTAGACAACAGAGCGCAGCCACCTGCCATCATCAAAGAACATCAAAGTTCTGCCCCACGTCACTTTTTCTTTTGGATGCTGCCACTACAGAAAGACATTTTGGAAGACATTTACCTGAATTTTCTAAGTAGTTAGTTGCTAATTTAATAACCCCTTATTGCTGAACCTTGTGTCATTTCGGCTTCTTTCAATGACATGTAACTGACTTTTTGTTTTAAGATTTTAAAATATCATACGTTTACCATCAAACAGACATTATCATTTTAATTTCCGAGTCTGTATTCTGACGTTGTCACAGTTTAGCCAAAATAAACTTAGACTTGTAGAATTAGACAAATGAGACACTATCCTCAGTGTTTTTTACTTGCAGCTGTTAAGCTTGAGCATAGTCTGATCTCATCTCTTCCAGCTACAGTATTATCAGTCCACTGAGATACCAAAAGTAATGCAACATGTATGAGTTGCCCTCTTTAGCCCTATGCATGTCTGTAAAAAGCTTGTTGAAATAGTATTCCCAGATACAGCTGGCATAAAGAAATGCTAGCAGGCTACATTGTACAGTGAACCTCATTTGAGTCTAAACAGATGCACCGTGTCACTTGGCGATCTGTTCTAGCCTACCTTAACATTCGAATAATCAATCAGTTCTTGGTGTCAGTATTCCAAGGTTTCTAAAGGTTAGAGTAGTGCCATTCAGACCTCTTGAGGTCAGTGAAACAACTGAAGTGAACAGAGTTCTCTTTGGTTTTATTAAGTTGATAGTAATGTAGCACCAAGTCTGTTCATCTGTTGTTGTTTACTGCTGGACAGCTTGGCTTAAATTAGCCTTTTGCATTACTCCTAAACCAAAAACGATATATAAATGAATTTCTCAAGTAGTAGAGACCCATTATCCATTAAAAGACATTGTTGTATATTTAATCTTTCCCTTCAGTTTATACACTCCATGGCCTAAAAGTGCTTTTGATATTGCAAGGTGCTACCAAAGACAGGAGCTAGTTGGCATCAGCTAATTTATGGAAATCTGTAAAAGAACATTTTCAGAATTATTTTCATTATGCAAATGTTTACCTTGTCACTTGCCAAGGTGTCATCAATGCTACTATGACTTGCTTTGATGAACCAAATTATTGTCCTTGTTACTCTTGTATGTTCTTCGCTGTGCATTTTTGGAGCAACTCAAAGTTTAAATGGTACCTCTACATGTAATTCATCTATAAAACGGCTATTTGTATCTTTTAGTCACATGTCAGTAATTTTGAAGAAAAACAATTTGAAAAGCCACAATTTGATATACTGTTATTTGTTATGGATGTTTTCCCTTTTCTTTTGAATTTTCTGTTAGTCTGTAGTCTCAAGTACAATTTTCCACCCTAAATAACTTACAGTATGGTTATGGTATCGGACCAGCATCCGATTCTCTCTGACATCCTTAAACAATGTTTCTCTCTTGTTTTACAGAGGACCAACTTCCCCCTGGTTTCCCTACCATAGACATGGGCCCACAGTTAAAGGTGGTGGAGCGAACACGTACCGCCACCATGCTCTGTGCCGCCAGTGGCAACCCCGACCCAGACATATCCTGGTTTAAAGACTTCCTCCCTGTAAACACCACCAACAACAACGGACGCATTAAGCAGCTCAGATCAGGTAGGTTTCCTCTGTTGAAAATTTGGTTACCGAAAACAGGGAGACTTCTTTCTTTTTTTATCTTTCTATCTGATCTGCTCCCACATTATCCTCGGCTCTTTCATCCTCTTCTTCCTGCCATGATTTAACTTCTCATTTGGCTTTTCATTTTATAGGTAATGCCATTGTTTGGAGTATTTCCTGTTCTCTACTCGCTGTACACCCTTGTTGTCTGTCTTTATGCTTTTCCTTTGTCTTCCAGTGTTGTCATGTGCTGTTGAGATTTTCCTTTGTGTCTGCTGGCTTTTGCCCTAACCTCTGCCCACCTTGCTCACTGCTGTGACTTTTTAACCAACAATTATTCTTTTGCTAGTTCACCTTGATTTTACTCTCCGCTGCATTGGTGCAGTATTTTTTAAGATCCATTTTTTCCTCATCAGTTACACTTTTTAAATAAACATTTGGCCACATTTAGTATCCACAGATTAATGTAGAATTTTTTTAAAGTAGGGAAAAAATACAGAATTTTTTTTTTTCAATTCCTTATATTTTTGTCCTTGAATAGATGTTTGCTTTAAGAGCATTTTAGGAGGAAAAAAGGTCCAAGGAAGAAAAAAAGTTTATATCTTCAAACTCATCAGCCACAGTAGTGCGTAAATCTTCACAAAGCTTTCCCTTTACCCCTTCATTATTTAACTCTATACAGTGCCGTGTAAATGTTTAAAACATTTTAAACTTTATTGAATTGTGTCCATTTAAAACCACAAACCTGAGTCTATTTTATTAGGATTTGATTTGATAGATCAACACAGTAGCACAGTCAGTCTGTTCACACCATAACCACTGAGAAATGTGGTGGCAGCTAAATGCTATGATGATTTGGCTACACTTTGGCAGACCTGCAATGGAGTTGTTTAGATCAAAAATATATTTGACGATTAGAATGACATGGTATTATCTTGACTAAGCTGGAGCCATTGATGCCTCATCATTCACATTCAACATGTTTATGATGTAATGATGTGGCAGGGTATGACTCTGCAGATGCTTCTTTAACTGTTACTAGTTAGGGCCCCCTTCTTGACGAAGCCCTGCTCGATGGTAAGCGATGCCATTGTATCTGTGCAACCTTTCTAGTTTGAGTAAGATTCAATTTTGTTTAACCCGCAATCGTCTTTCATACTCATTTTAATATATATACACTGCAAAGCATTATTAGAAATGTTTGTTCCCGGTGATCATTTCCTGAAAAGACTGAGGGAGATAAAAGCTTGAAAGTGTAAAAACATAGCTTTCCTTTACAAACCAAGCAAATCTTGAAATTGGCTTTTTAGATTCTCCCCCAAACAGTCTGTTTTGACTTTAACACTTTTTGTCTTGATGTAGAATTTTTTGTAGATCTTATACAAAAGACTTGATGAAGATCAACAGACTTCCAGAAATCATGTATATAAATGTGAAAGTAGTGTACAATTATGTATTACTTTATTTATGTATATCATTTAAATGCTACTACAGTTTGTTTAGGTTTGTGGTTTTAATGCAGCAAATCTAAGTGACTTAAATTGGCTTGGATACCTTTGCAAGGCACTGTAGCCCCTGCTTTAATGTTAAAATGCCAGTTTTGTATTTATGTATCATATCAAGAGTAAACTCATTCTAATTCTTAATAAATGCTGTCTAGCTGATAACCCGATAGCACAACTTCTTGAATTGGAAGTCCCTATTTGACCACCTGTCTTCACAGATTTCACAGCTGTTCTTTGTTAACTCATCGTCTTAACCTGACTTGTTTTTTTCTTTTCCTTCAGTAGAACTGTCAGATTAACCTTAAGTTCTAACGTGCGACTTTTGATTCACGTGCAGTTTGCTAAAGCATTAACCAAACCTTGTTAACTAAACGTACTTGAGGAGTATAATCTTAATTCTTATGCTGTCTTTCTTCTCTCTATATTTTTAAATTCTACAGAATCCTTTGGTAAGTGCTTAGCTCCAAAGCACACATCACCCCCACTAATTTCCATGTTCCAACAACTATTAAAATGCATGGCATGCATTTTACTAACAGATAGCTTAGAGTGTCAGGGTTAGAACCACACAAGCCAACCAACACACACTCTCCCCTTACCCTCACAATGTTTAACTGTCTTACTGCTTTTACTACTACTGCCAGCTTTAATACCATTTATCTTGAGATTTTAACATTCAAGCTTAAGGCTACTTTGTTGTGAGAAAGTATTTGCCCTTTACAAATATCCCCTGTTTTTGATTTATTTTTGTCACATTTAGATGCATTTAAGCTCTTCATACAATGTGTAATATGAGACAAAGATAATCTGAGTAAATATGGAAAGCAGTGAATTACTTGTGATTGATTCACATTTTTTTATTGAAGTCTTACAGCCACAACCGTACCTAATCAAGTCCCAAAGACTGGAATCAAGAAACCACTAATGTAAAACGTGCCTGACCGATTTAAGGAGTCTAAGAGATCTCAGTTATCTAAAGATATTCAAGAACCAGTGAGAAACTAATATCAATATGTAGGGAACAGCATGCAAAGATTAAAGGTAAAGTGGAGGATTTTCTCAAATTTTTTAAATTATCTGCCCTCACCAAATAAAACAAAAAAACAAAAAATGCACATGCACAACTCTGTACCTGCTTCTGAGAGGGAACGCCGATTAAACGCGTGCGAGAGCATGCAGAAGCATGCGTGCTGTCTTTACAAGCTATTTGAGCTCATATAGAGGTAGATAACTTTTACTGGCACTGATGTGAAATGGATTTCTCCAAATAGCATGTCAAACTTTACCTGTCGAGTAGAAACTTCACAGCCAAGGCCTCAGTGGGAAGCCCAAACTGTGCTTTCAGTGTATGCCATCGCGTGAAAGAATCTCCCAAAATCGCCGGTCTTGTTTCTCTCTTCTGATATCTTTGTTTTCTTTTAATACACTTAGTAGACACTTTTTCTCTTACGACCCTCGGCCATTTTTAAAGAACCGTGGTGAGAAAGGTGAGCTTCAACGCCTGTCTGAAACCGTAGCCCACCACAATTATACGCCTGAAAGTGTGCATGCGCAGAAATGGATAGCTAACGGGACGAGCACGTACGTCTGCCTTACGTAAACATATCACCAGAATGATTGAAAATTAAAAACCACTTCTTTTGATGATCCGTCCGGAAAAAGAACATTCTACACTATACCTTTAAGACTTCTTGAGAACCACATATAAATAACAAAATAGTGTTGAACCTTCTCTGTGGTGGTTGCCTACCGAAATTATTGCCAAGACCACCTCACTGACTCGATTCAGGGGTCACAGCAATACCCAGAAATCTTAGAATGCTTTGTTGCTTCAAGACTTGGAAAACTTGTTATATTTTCAAGAACCGTAAATTCTGCTCTCCTTAAAATCTTAAAGGAAAATGCATCTTCATTGGTATTAAAATATTTATAGTACCAATGTTTGACTTTTTGTGTCAGGACAGTTATACATTTAAAACCAACAAGTCATCCACTGAATGGATCAAGAGACTTTGAAGTGAACATTGTGTTGTGGCCTAGTCAAAGGCCAAACTTAAATATATTCTGGAAATTGTGGTTTGGCCTCAAATAAAACTTCATACATATACCAAAATTAAACCAATTCTGCAAAGAGATTACATCTTTATTTTAAATACTGCTTTTCGTATCTACTCACATTAATATTGTCTGAATTTAAAATCTGACGGAGATCTAAAACAGGTTACGGAAATAAAGCAAAAACAGGAGAAATCTGAATGGAGGCAATTATTCTTTTTTCATAGCACTGTAAGCGTTGTTGCATACTGACCTGAGTAATAATCTGTCCTCACATGTTTGTTCCTCACTCACGTATCCACCTCTTTAATGTTTTGACACCAACACCTTCAATATGAAAAAGTCCTACAGAGCTTTTAGGAAGCCAGCCAGCTTTGCCTCTAGCTCAAACCCAAAGGTCCGCTTTCAGTCTCATTTTCAAAGTCCTGAAAGTCTTTTCCCCTTCAGTAGATGATCTTCAGAAGCCACTTTAATAAAAAAAAACACCACCTTCCCCCACGTGTTGCACAAGATCTTCTCTCTGACTTTATTTTTCTATGATGAATCCTGTTTTTTTCTCTGCCAATAGAGTACAGAAAAAGTTCTCTTTTCTTCTCTTTCCTGTCTCTTTCCTGTAGTACCTTTATTTACGTACCCTGTTAAATCTAATTTGATTCTTCTTCCAAAGCCCCCAGCCTCTATCTACTCGTACTAATGCTTCTTCTTTCCAATCTTATTTGCATTCATATTATCCACCCAGGTGGTACGCCAATAAGAGGTAAGAGTGCTGAACTGACGTTCACAGAATGAAAATAATACAAATTCATTCTTGCTGTCAAGCCATCCGTTCATCCCCATTTTTGTCCTGTTTACAAAGACTGAATCCCATTTTGTTCATATTGGCCCATCCTCCTTATTTGTCCTTGGTTTGGTTGACTAAAATTGTATTTCATTATCGTGTTTTATGCATTATTTACTCCTTTGTGTTCTTTTTTTTAATCGTTTTCTTATTTCTTATTAGCTCAGTTGTGATATGCTTGCCCTGGCTCTAATAAGCATATACAATGACGATTCTTTTTTTTTTCCAAACTATATTTTAATGCTCATTTTTGTTTTTGTTTTTTTCCTTTTTGGCCATAGCCAATCATGTGTCCCTCTTTTTTGTCCAACTAAAACAACCAAGCATTTTTCCCCCTTAGCTGTTTCTTGTTCAGCACTAAAAACCCACAAAAAAACATGCACAGATGCTGTGGAATCATGCTGAAGACAACACCGTCTCTCCTTCTGCGTTTTTCCTCCCAAAGACTTCTTTCTATCTTCGCAAACTTTTTTTTTTTTCATTTCTTCTGTTTGCTTTCCTCTCCTGTACCTCTACAAAAAAGCCCAAACAACCACTTTTTTGATAAAGTTTCTCACGGTGCTTTTTTCCCACCTCCCTCTTTCACCTATTTTTCTTACTTTTCTTGGTTTTTTTTAATCTTTTTTGACTTTTTTGTTTTTTTTTCTTCAGGGTTTGGGGAAAAGGCAAACTGTAGAGTCTGGCGAGGACCTGATTGGCTCATTTTTGCCGTGTGACATGGAGCGGGAGAGTTGTTGATGCATAAAGCCATTTTTCTTTGAGTCATGTGACACCACACTGCTGATCCCATTTGTGGATTTTTATGGGTGTCTTTTTGTGGCTTAACAAAAGCTAAAGCAGTGGTTGGTTAAATTTTCTTGTTGGCTCAGGCCGTATTTTGAATTTTGTCTTCTAATACAATTGCATTTTATTTTTCAGCTAAGGGTTGTCAGAAGGTTGTAAGTTGTGTCGACATACATTTCTTGCCAAGATTTGCATGTCAAACCTTTTGTTAGAGGGTTATATGTTGGTTTTGCCTGACATAAATAATCAAACAAACCTTTTTTTTCCCAGATAATCTGAGCAGCGCAATATTTTTTGCATAAGCTGCCATTTTTTTCTTTTTCCAAACATACTTCATTCAGGTGAAGTCCAAATTGTCCTGTAGGCTGAATATTACAACTGATCTGTGATTGAATATGCTAAGAAAATCACACCTAAATTTTATTTTTGTTTTGTTTTTTAAATTGTCCTCCCTTGTTACGCTGCTTTCTTATACTGTAAACCTCTTTTGTTCGATCCATGTTTCCCTGAAACAGTATCACCCATTCCCATAATGACCAGTTGAGTGACATGTTGTATATTGATGGGCTTGCCCCTCCTACTTAAAGTAAAAATTGGCCGTTTGTTGTTTTTTTTATGTTGTTGGCACTAGGCATGGGACGGTATGACACGGTGTCATAACCTTTAGTAAAATATCAAGGTTTCCTGGTATCAAGGTATTTAAACAAGATGTCTGTACAAAATTGCAGAAATTATTCTTGCTGCAGCAGCAATTAAATGGGACTTCAACAGTTTTAGTGGTGTCATTTAACTTTTATTGGATTCTTTTACATTTCTTACCCAGATTTTAATAAAAATACAAGATAAACTAAAACACTTTAACTATCGGTTGTTGATTACTCCACAAGCTAGCATGCAAAATGCAGTTTAAATGGGTTTTTTTTTGCAACATTTTGCATAAATTTGAAACCAGATATTTACTTTCTCTGTGTTAAAAGAAACACAACCACCTATCACAACCAATTTCAATATTTTAGAAGAAATACAGGGACTATTATTAATCAATTTTAAACAATCTGGATGAGAATTCCCTGGCTTTATAAGCATCTGAAAACGTAAGTTAATATGTGTTGCATTTGTGGATGTAAGTTAGAGCAACCCCACTTAAAAACACTGCTTCCTTGTGTGACAAAATAGAAAAATCTAAAAATAACAAGTCAGTATATCAGAAAAATCATATTAGATGTTGCTACTGTGGTTCATTTTCAAATAATATTTTCAGAATTTTGAAGGTGCCATGTTCTTCTGTTCACAAAAGTATAGTATACTGTTCCATCATGTCAGCATTAAGACTTTCATGTTTCTATGCTTTATAGAGTAGTGTTTAGTTGGGAAATGTTAGTGCATTACTAGATAAAAAAAGCAAACTACTTAATGATGATGATGCCAAGAGAAGGTCATAATGCAACCAGAAGCAATACTTTTTTAAATATAATCGAAAAGGTAAAAAGTCCAAAGACCCTCAAGGAAAAAAAAAAAACGAAATTAATATCTGAAGACATGAGCTGAGGTCTAATTGAACTGAAATATAAGGGTCTGGACATTATGACCATTTTTATTTGTAGAAAAAAGGGGGATGCCTGCCAGGGAACCCCATCCTAGCTATGAAGTAAGGAAGTGGCAGCATCATGTTGTGGGAGGGCATCATGAGGAAGCAATAGATTAGGGGAATATTAATGGTGAGGTCACCAGTCCATCGTAGAGCACCATTTCAAAGACTCAAATATACATTCTGAATGAACAGTGAATTTAAGGGAACCACCTAATTAGTTACAAAGTGAACAACATTGTCAATGGTTTGGAATAGCCTTCTCAAGGTCCTATTGTCAAATCCACAGAAAGTTTTTAGAGAGATCTAAACGGACAGCCTACAAACTGGTTTTGAGTCAACTCAAGTAACAATTCTATATCTCTCAGAATACTGGCAAGTAGATGTAATGTAGGGCTACCTACCTGGTCTAAAACTGAAACAAAAGGGTTGGTCTTGGTAGATGAGAGTGAGAAAGACAATGGTTGGTGGTCTCTTTATCCTACATAATTAAATATCTGGTGTCAAACGTGTGTCCTTATATATTTATTAAGGTTTTTTGGTCTTTACCAATAGTCCTTCAGATTCTGCACCATTATTACAAGACATTGGCAAACAACTATATTTGTTTAGGTTTTCATTTATATTTTATTTTTTTCTGCAATGTTTTAGTTCTGAATTTGCATCACCAGCTGCTTTTAAGGACAACACTTTAAAACCTTGATATACCTTGACACCAGAAACCACCCCATGCCTAATTCACACTGAGATTAGCTCTTTTTTTTAGATTATGCAAGTCATCTTTTACTTGGAAGATAATTAATAAAATAAATCATTTATATTAAATACGTCAGGGGAGTACTCAGTTTCTGACTTTTTCTTTCAGTTTTTTTTTTCTCTTTTATTCTGCTCTTTTTTTTTATTTATTTATTTATTTTTTATTTAGCCTTGATGATATATATAATATTACTTATATTGTTTTGCAAAATTACGATTTGCAGCCGTCCTTCCACAATAGGAATTCACATTTTACTTAAGTTATAAGATAAACATTAGGAGATAAAGTCTTAAATCTAATTATTCCGAAACAAGAACTTACATGTCAACCTCAGACATGAAAGGAGAAAACAAAAGATAAATCACCTAACTTAAAATCCAAGTTGACCACATGCATTTTGTTACCCTATTTGTTATTCCAACTAGGAGCCCTGCAGATAGAGCACAGCGAGGAACCGGACCAGGGGAAGTATGAGTGCGTGGCAACTAACAATGATGGGACTCGCTATTCCGCTCCAGCTAATCTTTACGTCAGAGGTAGGAAACACTTTTTTTTTTTTTTTAGCTGAGCATTAGAGTAACATTTCCTTCAAAACTTGATAAGAAGTGTTTAAATTGATACATGGTCTGCAAAGGGCGTGTGCTGTAAGGCTACTGTAAGTATGTTCTATTACAGTTTATTTTCTGTTCCTTGCACTTGACTTACCTGCACTAATTTGAACCTACATTACCTGTTCTATATGTTTCTGGTCTGTTTCTGTTGATTATCCCATGCCCAGCACCAGTGATGAGACTGCTTGCAGCATTTATCTACTAATTGCTTTAAACAGCTGACTACTAGAGTTGGTGGAAGGGGTAGAAAGACCTTAGCTGTGAAGTGATCCACTTTTTCTCTACAGCACCTGATAATGCAACTTAAAACAGTCAGGAAGCTGCATAAATTTTTTTTCTGCAGATATTTTTAAAAATATAATATTAATCTATTACCGTACAGTGTTGCTCTTGCAGCTGCCAGAACAGAGCTGTTGAACTTTTAATCAAGTTATAATTTTCTCCAGTCAAATAGAACTTGCTGTTCCTTAGTTTTACCTTAAATTAGTTTAAATTAGAGAATTAATTGAGATTTTAAAAAAAAGTACACCAATTTTTTTTTAAATGTTATCATAGTTATATAATATTTGTCCCTTTCTTTTGTTAAAGAAGCTCTTGGACCGCAGTCCCACGGTTCTTGTTAACTTTTGACCCATTTAAAATCTTGTTTTTTGTTTTTTATTTAGCCTTCTACTTAATGGCCTGTATCCATATGAACTTGTCTAGCTCAATAAAAAGCCGTAGGGGATATTAGTGTCACATTTTCCTACTTCCGAATTACGTACAGATTTTTTTTTTCTCTATAAAATGGAGCATCTTCCGCAAGGTGGTTATGACTAATCCCCTGTCTCGTTGTGCTCACCTTTGGGATATCTGTGAGCCAGAGAGAAGAAGAGTTAAGAATTGGTCAATTTCATTCAGGCAAAGGTGTCTCTTTCAGTTGCAACACGGAAGATATAGGAGTTAACTTTTTGATAGCTGTGGTGCAATGGCTGTGGTGCAATGGCTGTTTTGCTCTATTTAGGCTCCGAGAAACAATGTTCAGCAAACGTTATCTCTCTTGACTACATAGATGGAGCAGTGATGTGCCTTTGTTAAGAACAGGGTTAAGATGTTTAACACACTTATAAAAAAAAATAATAATATCGTACAATCATCTTTAAAGAGGCCTATTCACGCTTTATGACTTCATGAATTTCTAAACCAGTAGATCGCTCTGGTTGCATGCAGAGGTTGTCCAATTAAATTACAGCACCCTGTTGTCTTGGTATATTTTACTTCTGTGTTTTATAACTTGTTTTTGCTCTATTTCCTGGTAAGCAAAGCTTGTTTGTGTAAATTAACCATAACAAGACCACAAGAGTCAATGTACAATATTGGAAAAGTTCAAAATGAGTAAACAAGGAATAGCAATACACATATATTACGTCTATGGGAGAAGTTGAGCGAGTTGGCAAAGAAGCGCAAAGGTCCAAAAAGCAAGAGGAGAGGTCCAACGTCGAGTGTGGAGATGCGCAAATAATATTAGATTCCAAGAGGGCTGAGACACAAGTTGTGCTCTGAATACAGTATGAACGCTTTTCACTAAGCTGGTGATAAAAAGCTGTAGAAATATTCTGATTTCACTGCTTAGTTCATAGATACATGAGTACACAGCCCTACTAGTACAGATGCAAGCTCCTAGTAAGTGACAGAAAAGTCTATAAGATAATAATTTTAAAACAGCCCACCATATTTTTACAAACTGAAACTGTTAGTAGTCTGTACAACTACCGAGAGAATGCGTAAAACAAAGTTTATGTCTGCTGATCACGGCCGATGCAAGAATTCTATTCAGGCTGAAATAAGACAAAGTGTGTTACTTAAAGATGGATCTTCAAATTCATTTTCAAATAAAACATAGACATAGTACATTACTAAGTGGTTTTAAATGAGTTAAAACAACAGAGTAAATGCTTTCCACAATATATTTTGTCATAAAGACTACAAAAGTCATTAAAGATTAGATGTAAAAAATGACTTTTCATCAATATAAAGTCTAAAGTAGGACTCATAAATACAATTTTTTATGCAAACATACACAGATATAAACTGATGTCCCCCTGTCCTTCTCCACTGCTGTTATATCACTAAAAGCTTCAAACTCCTCCCAGTGTTGATGACAAGTGTGTTCTTTCCACCGTCTGGTGTGAAATACCTCAATCAAACAGCCATAAAGAAATGTGTGGGTATAAAAGGAGAGACTGTAGATTGATTGTGATTGAAGTACCTAATGACCATCAACTAACCATTAAACAGCCAAGGAAATCTTCTGGCAGTACGAAAGCAGACAAGGAAGCAGAAACAGTTCCTATAACTGCCCTGGTCTAGAGCTATCTTATCTAATATAATTTAAAAAAACATGTGGAAAGCATATATTCATCAATTATAACAGATTTTTAGATGTTAGATTTTCATATAGTCATATATTTCTGCCGATAAGGTATCGACATGGCTTGAAGCAGGGGTCTCAAATCTCGGTCCATGCAGGATGGTATGATGCAACATCTTCAAAGGGCTTTGCCTCTACATACTAGAATCAACTAAGTTTGTCATTGGCATGCTACCAGAGCAGGTACATATGCTTAAGAGATGATCAAGCATAGGATGTTTGGAGGACATGAGTCCTTTAGGATTGGAGTTTGAGACCCATGGTTTAGATGCACCATAGGAAACAAGTAAGTAAATTCTTCTTTAGACATTTCAGCTCTGTTAAGGTGTCACTGTTGGCTTCTGGGAGATACACGGGGCTCCCTTCATCTTAGAGGGAAAAAAAAACATTCTCCTAAATGTTTTCCGGAGCATTTGAGCACCTAAAACATGGCCTTCTTACTCTCTGTGTTCCCTTGTTTTTTCTCCTTCCCTTATTTCATTTTGCATCCACACCCCTACATCCTTCAGAGCTACGAGAAGGTTGGTGTGTTTTTTACTTCTTCAACAAGTAATATTTTATTGCAGTTAATTTTCACTCGGTCACCACATCACAAGAAAGGAAAATCTCATTTTCAAGACCTTGTCACGGAAATTCCTCCATTGTTTTTGCATTTGTCTCTCAGCATATTGTTTTGTTTTTCTCTGAATATTCAGTGTCCTTGTTCCTGTTGAGACTCCCTCTTGCTCTTTGTCAGAATGCATGACTGTTCAACAGGTGGCGCATGTTTGCTTCCTAGAGGGGAAATGGTGGGAGGGTTGATATTTGCATCAGTTTGACTGTTTGCATGCTCACTTACTAACATCTGACCCCCAGCATCTTACCATGAGAGTGTTCCTGCTTGAGTTTACTCCTAGTTTGCAGGAAATACGGCCCTGAGGAGAGAGCTGACTAATCCTGCGCACAGACATTAAAACATCTCTTCAGACATTATTTCCCATAGATAAAAATCCGTTCAAGAATTGACACTAAAATTGAACGTCAAGCTCTAAAAACAATCGCACCCGCAGAGAATATACACTCCCTTTGATGAGGATGTCATTGCTGGAGAGGCCATGAAAGAATGATGATACAGATTCTTATCCACAAGTCTTGACAAATGTAATGATATTCAAATGAGCAGGATAATGTTATGTCTGTGGGGAGCGCAATCCAATTGGATATTAATTAAATATTGAGGGAGAGGAATGTTGTATTTAATAATGCAGGCACTCCCCTTCGATTTCCTCTCCAGAGAGCTGCCGACTGCTTCTCAGAAGAGGCTTTGAGATTTGGCAGCAGGAAGCAAATACCAACATTATAGCTGTGTAAAGATAATGCATCCTTGGGTTAGGGAAGCAGAGACGAGACAACATTATAGGTGAAAAAAAGATATTCAGATGCTTCTTTCTCGAAGCTAAGGTCGCCTGTTAATACAAACCTTTCCTTTAAGCTTGTCTGTTTTGTTTTTTTTCTGTTTCAATATGTTTTTTATAATGCTGACAAATCCAAATCGAGAGAAGCTGCAGGAAAAAAGCATGCTTAGTCTCCTTTTTAAGTTTTCTTTTAACCCTGTTTGAACTACCAAGACCATATAATACCCAATATGTACAGCTGTTTTGATCCTGCTTTTAAAAGCCTTTTATTTTGCCCTCAAAAAAACAAATATTCTTCGCTTGCATGATTTAATTTTTCTTATCTCCAAAAGTCCTTACAATCAACATTTTCCATTATTGTTATAAAGTTCTGTCTAGCTTTAATCTTTCTTCTTCTGCAGATTATTTGTCATTTTAATCCACTGTTGCAGTGAAATTGTATTCATAATAAAGAAAAAGGAATCCTAATCGCAGTAAAAAGATAAGAAGAGTTATTTAAACATTATTTGACACATGTCCTGAGTGTCTACTGCTCTTTCTTTGACACGTATTTCGGCCACATATTACAGTAATTCTCCTTTCTTTCCCATCACGATTACAGAAACATTTAACATCTTACCTGCAAAGATAACTCTTGGATCTGTGTTTGGTTGAAATATAGATTAGTTTTTTTCCTGGAGGCTTAAAGCCAACGGCCTGACCAGAAGGAAGCTAAAATCCAATCAAACATTTAAGTTTAAGAGGCTCGTATCTCACATCTTATAGTGGTTTAAGTCAATGCTATTAAAGCCATTGTTGCTTCTTCAGTGGCTCATTCTTAAAGAAAATAATGCAGAGAACAAACCATAAAAATTACATAAACTCCTACAAAATATTGAGTTTAATGTAGCTTTACGTCTGTGTCAGACTATAACTCTGACTGGAAACTCTTTTATGTTAAGTGTTTCACACAGGATATATTAAACTGCCTCCAACCTTCATTTCCTCTGTGAAATATTTTTGGCGTATCCATACATGATTGTACGCATCAAGATGGTTTTAAAATTCATAAAATACAGTCAGCATAAACTGCTGTAAAGCTTTTGAGGTACTAATTTGAAAGGTGAAATGCATAACATTTTCATAGGCCTGGTTTTTGCTTAGAGAAAGGCTTAAGGGAAAAAAAAACACAATATTGTTGTGTTTTTTATAGTGTATGTCTATGTGTCTTTTTTAATTGAAAACATCTAGCTGGAACATCTGTGAATATCATCCAATGCTTTGTGCACGGTGACCATTTTGGTGTTCACCCATTCACCGCTTCCTCTACAGCTTCAATAAAGCGCTTACATTTTATTTTCATTTTTTTTGTTTTTCTTGTTTCATTTTAAATCCCACAGAAAACAAGAAGCTTATTTGCATGATAAAGTTGTCTTTTTCTAATCCCTTTCCTCTTTTGGATACACTTCAAAAGATTCTTTATGTTTTACCTTGATTTTTATTCTTGATGTGAATTCTGACGCTGAATATTCCTTTTAGTGCGGCGAGTCCCACCCCGATTCTCCATCCCACCGACAGACAATGAGATCATGCCAGGGGGCAGCGTGAATATTACATGTGTAGCTGTGGGCTCACCCATGCCCTACGTCAAGTGGATGCTGGGCGCTGAGGACCTCACCCCAGAGGACGACATGCCCATAGGACGGAACGTCTTAGAGCTTACCGATGTGCGTCAGTCAGCTAATTACACTTGTGTTGCTATGTCAACACTTGGTGTGATAGAGGCTGTTGCCCAGATAACAGTTAAAGGTAAACATTAATTCTTTCTACATCATCATTTTACTGACTGCATATTCAGTTTTCTGTTTGTTTTTATTTTATCACTCATTAGCCGTTGTAAACATACTTGTCAGATCAAAGCAAATAGAGTGGATTCTACAAGGCTGATATATATCGGTAAAGTTATAGAAGGAATTTTATTTTATTTTTTAAGTTTTTTTTAGAAAACTTCTGTCTATTAGTAATATTGCAGTTTGATAACCTTACCATTAAGCCTAAACATTACAGTATTTGTGTGTTCACAAACATGCGAAAATTCACCTTGACAATTTCCTGGTTCAACTTTTAGATGACTTTTCAACTGTCCAGTTCGACCCAAAACGGGTCGGCCATAACGATGCACTAGTATGGTTTAGGGCTGGACATATGGCTGCGACCAAAACAAGAGCTGCAGCAAGAGTATATTAGCATAAGATGTTGTGGTTTCTCAAGGCCTGCGTTGTTGGCTCATCTGTTGCTGTGATTGGCTAAGGCCAGACTTTGGTAGGAAGCACTAGATGTCGCTAAATCTGGCTTTCCAGATTAGCTTTTACTTTCTTATCTCCAATCCAAATTAAATATAATAAAACTAATACGACACTGAAATGGTTAACAAACGTTTTTTCTTCAATACTGAAAAATCTGTAATATTTTCAATCACGTCGTATTTAATTTACTAGCAATGAATGCTTTTATCTGTCGGCATCTGTTTTTTTTTTTCCCACATCAACAAATATTCTTTACCCTTTTAGACCCTTTTCAGTAGTGGTAGAGTAACACCAGCATGATAACTCCGTTCAGATGGATTTTTTTGATGATTCATATATAAAATCAGTTAATATATTTCAGTGTGATTTCAGTCAATATTGTGTGGGCAAAACGTGCCTCCTTAGCTTTATAAGCTTAGAGCTTTCATTTGATCGTGAAACTGAACCAATTGTGTTTCAGTCGCTCTTATCACAAATGTCCTTTAAACTGAAACGAATCACCATAAAATTTATACTACATGATGCAACCCCACAGGAATGTGCAACAGGCAATTCTGCCTTCATTTTATTACAAAATACATTTGCACAAAAATCATTTTGAAAGGTCGAAATAGAACTAAATTGGTAAATAATATTACCTAAACAATATTTGATGCAGGAAATGTGATTTATATTTATTTTCAATTGTCCATAGACCTATTAGATACCCCTTAGATACCAAAGGGGGGTTGTGAATTCTGCTTTTAATATTTTGTTTTAGCTCAAGTAAATCAAACATAGTAACACCTGCAGAGATTTTGTAAATTTTTATTGAAAAATGTCTTTAAAACAGCATTTCTATTTAACCCTTTTGTGACTAAAACACTGTTTGATAAGCAGAGTAGTTCAGTGCAGATTCCTATATAACTTCATTTGAGGTGAAAAAATCTCTAGTCTCTATAAAGTCAGCGATGAGCGAGAGATACTGGAACAAGCATAAGAATGCCGCAGTTCTTTGTTTTGGCCACACGTGGCAGTATCATTAGAAAACGCCGCCATGCTTGTTTAAACTACAAAACATGTATTTCTGTGTTCACATCAAAGAGCTACCAACATTTTCTATTAAGACCATATATCAGTGGAGTTATTCTTGATTATTCTATTGTATTTTTTTAGGAGGAAATTCGTTCTAAAACCCTCTAAAACAGGGGTGCTCAAGTCCAGTCCTCAAGAGCTACCATACTATTAACTTTTAGATGCATCTCTTCTCTAACACACCTGAATCTAAAGGCCTAATCCCCTCATTTAGCTCAGCAGAGGCATGGTAACGAGCCACTCGTTTGATTCAGGTGTGTTAAAAATGGTTGCATCAAATAGTTGCAGGATAGTAGCTCTTGAGGCCTGGACTTGAGCACCCCGGCTCTAGAATGAATGGGTCAAATCTTTGCTGTTACGACCTTAACTCATCTTTAGTTGTTAAAACCTTGCCCTGGATCTATTGGATTTTTTTCTGAATTATTATATCACTTATGTACCAAGACTATAAACGGTGCATCTCCCAGCTAGTGTTTGTTATTCAAAAAACTTCAAAGTAGAGAAAACTGTCAGGCACCTACCCACCTCTTACTGTGAAGACAAGGCACTTTCTTAGCATTTCCTAAAGCTTTAGACAAAGTCTGGCACCAAGCTTGGTGCATATGATACAAGCTTAAGATTAGAGTGTTGCGCTTATCTGTCAGACAGAGACTAGCAAGTAACAAGCTCGCAATTTCTACAAGGAGGGGTATAAAAATAGCTTGTACACTTTGGTGGAGAAATAGTAATCACTTGTCCCTTGTAATATAACAGAATGACAGCCTAGATAGCACGGCTGCATTCACATGCACACAAGGGATTGACTCCAGCTTACAAACACGCTCACAGCTTTGTTTTTCTGAGGAAAAACATAAAGATGCTCACAATATAACAGGAAACAGAGGCTTCCCCCAGTGGTCTGCTTCAGATGGCATATAAACACGATCTACAGCCCTGATATCTTTTGCTGTGCGCCACGGTGCAGAGAATTAAAGCAATAAATTTACCTGTTTAATTATTAAAGTGATAAAGAGAAATCTAAAGATTAACAGTGTCAACAGCAGCTCTGCAAAATACTGAACAGAGACGAACCAAGAGTCTGTGGTGTCTGCAATAAATTGCAGAGATAAAACTTTCTGATATTTGCCGTGTTATGTGTTTTTATTATTATTTATCTTACAATTCTCATTGCAGCACTACCCAAAGCTCCTGGCACTCCTGTTGTGACAGAGCGCACTGCCACCAGCATCACACTGACTTGGGACTCTGGCAACCCTGAGCCAGTGTCCTATTACATAATCCAGCACAAGTCCAAGTACTCAGATGACCTGTACAAGGAGATAGATGGTGTGGCCACTACCCGGTACAGCGTGGGTGGCCTGAGCCCCTATTCCGACTATGAGTTCAGAGTGGTGGCTGTGAACAACATTGGGCGAGGGCCACCAAGCGAGAGCATCGAGGCCAAAACAGCAGAGCAGGCACCAAGTACTGCGCCAAGGCAGGTCCGAGGTCATATGATGAGTGCCACTACTGCAGTCATTCAGTGGGATGAGCCTGAGGAGCCCAACGGCCAGATCATGGGTTATAGGGTGTACTTCACCATGGACTCCAACCAGCACGTTAACCTCTGGGAGAAACAGATAGTTCGGGGTACTAACTTTGTCACTATCCAGGGTCTAATCCCGAATAAGACCTACTACATCAAAGTGTTGGCCTATACCTCAGTGGGTGATGGACCGCTGTCTCCTGAGCTGCAAATCATCGCCAAGACTGGAGGTGGGTTTGCTCTTTATTTTTTTCTCTTGAGAATGCTGAAGCTTTTAATCAGGTTTTAAATTCTAAAACATCTCCAGACCAAAATGTTTTAGTTTAAAAGAGTTATTCATAGAAAAAAGTTAAAGGGAAATGCAAACAACTAAATAGTTTTATTTGTGCCAGATCAGTTTTGGTGTGACATGGAAGGTGTTGTGTAATCATTGGTCAGTTTTTACTTGCTTTGGCAAAACAGAATGGACATTAGTGAGACGTTTGACATTCTGGTACCTATTAAAAATACATGATATACGCCAGATGTTTAGACCATGATTTCAGGTTTGACCAGAAGGGCTTAAATCATGCAAATACAAAAAAATTAAGCATGCTATTCTTATAGTTTTCAAAATTTGAAAAGGCAGACTTTTTAATTTTTTTTTGTAATTCTCATTTTTCTAAGTAAGATTAAAAAGGGGGGGGGAAATTGATCATTTGTAGTATCTTTTTTTGAAGCAAGGAAAAAAATAAACTCTCTAGTCTCTCTCTCATCCATTTATGAATGTTTGTGTAAGGAGTTATGCATGAAAACAACTCTTCTGCCGCTGGCATTTTTGTCAAGTGGCAACATATTTTCACTACAGTTAAAGTAGAGGGACTGCAACACTTGTAAACTAATGTTAGAATGATTCCAGTTTTAGAGGTTTTTTCCATCCATCCATCCATCTTCCTCCGCTTATCCGGGGTCGGGTCGCAAAGGCAGCAGCTTAAGAAGGGAGGACAAAACTTCCCTCTCCCCAGCCACTTCTTCCAGCTCTTCAGGAGGAACCCCAAGGCGTTCCCAGGCCAGCCGAGAAACATAGAGGTTTTTTTAAGTTTGATAAATTGACAATAGAACTTTACAATGACAGAGGCCAAATCTTTGCCCATAGAGCTTTAGTTAATAAGCAGAGCACTTAATAGGGGAGGCTGATGTAAAGTTTTGTTGGGCTGCTCTGCTATCTGTCGTTCACCACTAAGCAAAAAAATACATAAAAAAATCAGCTCAGTCCTGCAGATTTAAAGCAGCTGTTATTCAGTTCAGATATACTTCTAATCTCCCATCCAGTGGGGTTAGAGTCCTGTTGTGGGGTCTTTCTGCATGGAGTTTGCATGTTCTCCCTGAGCATATGTGGGTTCTCTCTGGGTACTCCAACTTCCTCACACAGTCCAAAAACAAAAACACATAGGTGTCAAGTAATGAAGTACAAATACTTTGTCACTCTGACTTCTACTCATTACATTTTCACACAAGTATTTGTACTTTCTATTCCTTATATTTTTTAAACAAAAATTACTTGTTAATTTTGGCTTTGGTTTAATGTTTCTAAATATTTATTTCACGTCAGGTGCACCATCCAATGCAGATCATTGGCTCCATCCACATCTAGTTAAAACGAGTGTCTTCGGATGAGTCGTATAACGCAAACACTCATTGGTTAGCTAAAGGAAATCATCAGAAGCAAGCAGGTGTTCTTCAACCTGCAAACGTGAATTGTCTATGTCATGCTGCAATGTCAGATTCAGAGAAAGATGTCAAAATGTCTGAAAGGTCAGAAACAGGCGAGAGCGTATCGGGAGATGGAGACGGAGACCAACAAGACCTCCCTCATCCTTGGCCCTATCTCAAAGAATTTTTCGGAATAGTCGAAATATTGAGCTTTCAATTCATGTAGTGGCATCTGGAAGTTTTTTTAAAAGGTTGCTTAATACATTTATACTTTAAATAGTTTTTGGAGCACATACTTTTTCACTTTTACTTGAGTAAAGAGGCCAAGCTGATACTTCAACTTTTACCAGAGTGTTTTTAAACTGCAGTATCTATACTTCTACTTAAGCAACAAATGTGTGTACTTTTGACACTACTGCAAAAACATGACTGTTAGGTTAATTGGTTTCTCCAAATTGTCCTAAGATATCAGTGTATACGGTTGTTTGTCTCGGTGTTGCCCTATGACAGACTGGGTGACCTTTTCAGGATGTACCCCTCCTGTCGCCCATAGAGTGCGTAGATAGGCACTGGCCCCCACGACACTGACAGGACTGAGGATGGAAATGGTTTTGTAAATCTGTACTAAAGAAAAACAGCAGACAGTAATAATACTATATTAAATGATTAAACATTATTAGAAGATTATCCAAATGCCCCAAATCACATTAAGTTTAAAAAGGTGTAAAAAATATGTGCATGTTATAGTGATATTTACAAAGCCGACATCCTCCTGCCCTAACATTCCACTCCTATGTCCACAACCATGACCAGAATCACAATCAGTTGCCCATAATTCAGAATATAATGAACTCATTTCTTTATTTTCAGTTCCCTCCCAGCCAACTGACTTCAAAGGAGAAGCCAAGTCAGAGACAAGTATTTTGCTTTCATGGAACGCTCCGGCACAGACGGGACTGGAAAACCAAGTGACCGGGTATGAACTCATCTACAAAAAGAAGGATGACAAAGAAGAGGTAATTACAACCTTTGAAGTTGGCATTTAACAGTTTAAAGTTCTGAATCTAATAGGATTTTGAATACATTAATAGTTCTAACATTGTTTTAAGAGTTTCCTGTTACCCTCCTTAATTACTTGCAGTTCTGCTGTTAGTCTAACACTGTTGTTAGTAATTAACAGAGCATAATTGGCAACCCCTCTTTGTTTTCTCACGCTTTTTTAAATTTGAGTTTAATATTTACAGATTGTTGGTTGCAGCTGTTTTAAAATTGCACTATGATTGGAACATTTTAACTGTTATAATTAAAGAAGAGAGTTTATTAGTTGTTGGGTTTCAGCAGTGTTGAGTAACTCATTTTTATTTAAAAAAAATGTGACCTGTTACCTTTTAAAGTTAGCAACCTAAAGTAGGCGGAGTCTGATGATGCTCCCCTTATAACACAGCTACTATATTAATTAATAGCTCTAGTAAGGATGCTTTAAGCGCACAATCACAATGTCTGTTAGAGAGTTATGTTATGAAAACTAAATCCAAACTGATTCAGTGAATAGCACAAAAAAATAGGTCATTGGTACTATATTTTTATCCACTTTTTTATAGGATTCAAGTTTTGATTCTGAAGTACTTATGGAAAAAAAGGTTTTTTTGTTTGTATTTAGTTGGACACATGGCATATTAATTGTAAATATTGCCCTGATTGAACATGTGAGTATGTTCTATTAGTACTTCCTGCTAAATTCAAATCAACACGGATCTCTTTTCTTATAAAACAATGCCTGTTCTTACATGTAGGTAAAAAAAATAAACCTTTCTGTCAAAATATATCAACAGTAGATGACACAAACATAAGAGGTTACTAAATAAAAATCCCTCAGCTCTCTTATGAACTTAGCAAAATAGCATAATAGCAAAGAACGAGAAAGAAAATGCTTTGATTTAGTACTTAGTACAAACTGGTTTTGTTTAGGCCTTTTTTTTTTTTTTTTATACTGTATGTGTGCTTCCTAAAACCCTGCTCCTCTGTGTTACTGCATAGTGTTAAGCCTGTAATAGATTACACTGACATTGTTTACATGCATCCTTCCTCCAAGTCTCTGTATATTTCACACTCAGTCTAACATGATGATCGTAGATTATTAACAAATCCCATGGGGATTATTTAAGGACTCAGCATCGCTTTCATATGGAAAGATGGGTTTTTCCTTTATAAACTTACTGAAACTGAAACCTTCTCATGGTCCCAAGGGTCCACACTGAATTGTGGAAGATTCTTTCAGCTACTACTCCATTTTGATGCATCTTACTGTGGATGCTTTTAATACTTCTTCATAAAGTTGTACTGTATGCTTTTATGTTTAAAATTGTGTCTGAAACAGTTTCTGTGTGGCGCGCTTTGCCAAAACCTTCCTGTCACATAGATTCTAGGTGTTTGTGAATCTTTTAGAGTTAAAAATGGAGAAATGAAATAACGGAAACCAAACCTCTTTTCACAGAAGCTAATAACTTTCGAGCCGACAACCACGTACCTACTGAAGGACTTGAAGCCCTTCACAACATACACGTTCCGTCTGGCGGCCCGTAGTAAACATGGAGTGGGAGCTTACACCAGTGACATCTCTGCTGAAACTCCTCAGACACGTAGGTGTTCTTCTTTATCTGGCCAAGCCTCAATCGTATGCAAAGAAACATATTTTCAAATGCACTTTTCTTTTTAATTTCCCAAATCTCACAGAGATTCAATCCCTTTTGGATGTGTTTTTTTTTCTTCTTCTTCTTCTTGACATTTAATGCATTTGAAAAATGTTTCAATCTTAAGTTTGTTTATTGTCAAAAACAACAGAGCGGCATTTACCTTGTGAAGGCTGCACAGACTGTGCCACTAGGCTTCCTACAAAGTCAGAAGAAATGTTTGCAAAACTTCCCGCTCCACTGCTGCATTGTTCAAAAAATGATTTTTAGCAATAATTACCACTTCAGTCTCTGAATTCTAGATGTGAATCTGATCAATTTTACAATATGGAGTGGAGTGAAATGGAGCTTTGGAAACTTTATCTCCTGATCCTGCACTGCAGCCAAATACTGGACAGAAAATAAAGGTTTAGATTGAGCTTTCTATGTAGCTACCCTTGTTGGGAATAAAACGTTAAACCGTCATTCTCTATTTAAATTAAACAGACGAAAACCTTCTGGGCTACATCAACATAGAAAGCTCAAAGCAGTTACTCATAAGAGACATTTCTACACAGAAGACCTCAGATTTATGTTTTAGAAAAGCAACACTAAATGTGATGTTTGTGTTCTGCCGTTTCCTCAAAATTGTAAAAAATTTTCAATTCACGGAATCAAAAAAAGGTTATTAAACAAGATGATTGCTGTGCAGATTTTGGACATTTAGCATAAATCTGAGGTATCTGACAGTCAGAGGGAGGTAATCAGGTGGGTACAAAAATGATTAAAAATTTGAAACCTGCATAAAGTGAAAGAAAAAGAAACACATGCATGAGATTATCAGAATGTAATGAATCAGTCATATCTCCTTGCAAAGTTCTCTGTTGTTCAGTCAGGCTTTTACCACAAACCAACAGGCTTCGGAAAGGTTGGTGACGAGTACCACTTTTTTTTTTCAAATTTACTACAGCATCAACCTTTATGTTTTTGGATTGATGGTAACTGCTTGCAAAATGTATCTTTTTTCAACTTGTTTAACTTGAACACTTTATGAAATCAATGGAAGAAGATTTTTTTTTAATAAAAAATATAGAGTACTTTTTTCATGATGAAGGTAGGTAATTTCTGGTAAAGCTGTCCGTTTTCCAATCATTCTTCATTTCATTGTACATGTAAACATACTTGTTTCAACCTTTTTTTTCCCTGTCATTTGTGATTTATTGTTTGATTTTATTTATTCATAAAAGTCCTCATGCTTTTTTCATTATATTATTTTCCTTTTTTTTCCTTTTGTCTTTCAATTCTTACATCACCATCCTGATCAAAAACTAAAAACTTCTTTGAAAACCAACAAAATCAACTCTATGAATGGCCTCAACCAACAAACCCAAACCAAACAACAAAATGGACCTAAAAATGGCTACCAAAATACAGAACCCACTGGCCCCCCTCAGGACGTAAAGTGTCACAGCCCCAGCTCCACCAGTATCCTGGTAAGTTGGCAGCCGCCGGCTGTGGAGCTACAAAACGGGATCTTGACGCAGTACGCTATCCACTACACTGCTACTGAAGGCGAGGAAACCACCACTCACAGAGTCTCTGGCATCCCACCGGAAAGCTCCAAGTACCTTTTAGAGAACCTGGAAAAATGGACTGAATACCGCGTGACGGTCATTGCCCACACGGATGTCGGAGCTGGACCTGAGAGCTTGCCGCAGATTATCCGAACAGAGGAGGATGGTATGTGTTTGCTAAGACTAAAAACAACAAGCTCCAGCTGCAAATCCAGCCTACCTTTCCTAACCTAACCCCTCCCCTCCTACCCCCCCTCACCAAATACTAATAGCCTATATCTACTACTACCTCTTCTCTATCTCCTCTGCCTGCATCTGAAATGACTGTGACCCAAACTGACTCACACAAGCACCTTTTTTGGCTTTATAATTCTTCACGCTGCTCAATTTCAACAAATGGTATGGCAGTTTCAACTTCCGGCCTCTAACTTCCAATCCCAGCTGTCTGTTTTTATAACCTTACTTTTTTTTTTTTTTTTATCCCGGAATTTTTAAATCCGTGACAGTGGGAATTTCAAAATATGGAAGATTTTTTTTTTTTTAAAAGGCCATTTTTTAAATCTATTTTTGTCAACTCATGTGGTTGTAAATCATTTTTTTCCTTACATCATTGCCAAAACTCTTCTTGTACTTCAAGCACGTGAAACTCTTGAAGTCCATTTTGGCTCCATTTTTCTATTTTGACAAAACCCATTTTTTTTTTTTATGCCATGATTTTTAAACTCCACTTGATCCTGATATAATGTTTTACAAGATTAGGTCAGCTGTCAGACCTGACTTTTTTTTGCTGTTGTATTTTTTTCCCTCTCTCCTTACCATTGTTGAAATAATTCTGTCATGCAGTGCTTGTTGAAGTTTTCTGCACTTTGGTGCTTTTTTTTTGGTTTTGTTTTTTGGGTCACTGCAATATTTTTTGGGGGGGAAGAAGCTTAATAGGAGGATGACGCAAAGATGCGGGGGATTCTCTAGAAATTTGACCTTATTTCTTTTATTCCATGGTGTTCCTCCAGTTCCTAGTGGGCCACCTCGTAAAGTTGAGGTGGAGGCTGTCAACTCTTCATCAATTAAAGTGATTTGGCGCTCACCGGTGCCCACCAAGCAGCACGGTCAGATCCGAGGATACCAGGTGCACTATGTCAGGATGGTTAATGGGGAGCCTACAGGACAGCCAGTCATCAAGGACATCCTGATTGATGATGCCCAGGTACAACAACACCCACCACCACTGCAACCAGACACACAGCCTGCCATCTCATTCCTCAGACACATAGTACTGCTTTGTCTCACTCACCTCCTCACCTTCAAATATGCCAGAGCAAGGTCCTATACATTGTGCAAAAGTCTTAAGTCATCTTTCTAGCTGTTACAGTTTGCTTCCAATTGGTGTTACAGGATTGGGGTTACCCTGCAAGAAGTTACAGGTTAATTGTAAAGAAATTATGGATCGAAACGTTTGCATAAAAACCACTAGCAAGTGTTTTATGCCATCCAAAGCAAGGTTGTGAACAGTTTCCTTCTTCTCGTCGAGGCCTTCACATAACAGCTGGGTTTATCTTAAGATAAAGTGATATACAGATTGATTTTCTTTATTAAATAGATGATTTTCGAGGAAATTTGTTGCAATTATTTAAAGATATCAACATAAAAAGAGATAAATAATAATCCACACCACACCTTTGCAGATTGTTTATTTAAAATTAGAAAATCATTAATATTTTTTGTATGTAGCACTTTGTGCTGCTTTATCATTTCAAGTGTAATTCATTGCAGAATCTCTTTATTTTTTTTATTTTTTTCAGATAAACTGTATAAACTACTTTAATGTTACTGTGCAATTATGCAGTTATCTATCTTAAACCCGTCTTACTTTTGAATGGAGACTACTGCAGATTAATATTTCTACTGGTTCAAACGCTACACCCTTATAATAGCCCAGCGGTTGGGAATAAGGAAACTTTTTTTCAGAAACACCCCCATAGTGTGATAACCTATCCTCTACTGCCACGGCAGAACCAGCTTTAGGCAAAGTTGAGTCTGCGCCTTAAGCCAGTGTTCAAACCAATAAGGTCTCTGGCCCACAGAGCTTCACAAAATCTCCCTTTATCCCCAGTTATAAAAAAAACTACATATCACAAAATCTTCTAAAGTGCCAGCATTCTTCTACTTACTCAAAATGCTTTATTATGTCAAAGTTAGTTGGCTGCAAATCTCTCTTGTCCTTTCCACACCACACCTAACCCTCATTGCCCATCCACACACTTAGTCCTGCTCCTTGTACGATGTTATGCTTTTGCATCAGAGCGAGTTAAACTTTAAATGTCGAATAAAAAAGATAAATAGGTTTTGGGGTTAAAAAAATTAGCAGCTATGAATAATTTAGTCAAGAGGCTTTATTAATTTTAGCGCATTTGATAAATGCAAATCATTTATCTGTAGACCTTCGTGTATTTATCCATGTTTCCCTTCTGCTACAAACATTTGTACAAGCAAACATTTGATGCCTTTGTTTACACATCAGATAGGTGGGCATACTTACTTACTGATCACTGTTTTTTCTTCTGTTTGTTTGTTCTGTCCATTCTTTGATATCTCACAGTGGGAGTATGATGACACAACTGAACATGTAAGTAGCTAAACCCTGTTTTCTCCTGCTTTTGTCTCCTGCATGACACTATCCTACGGCAAACTGTATTATGAATTAATGCTAAATGAACAAGATGGAATAAAAAGATGGTGTAACCATCCAACAGTCGGTTCCACAAACAGGATAGTTCTGTGGCTAATACCGGATCTCATGATAAATTATTTAAAAGCTTAAACCTTTAATTTGCCTCACTTCCTGCACAGCGTAACAACAAAGTAAAATAAATAAAAGATGTTTAAACTGTGCATGTTAAAACTACTTTTTTCTAAATATAGCATTGCATCTTTGGGTGTGACTCAAGACATCAAACCTGTTCAAATTAAGTTTGGCTTTTTGTAGAAGGATTTTTTTTAAAACTTAATTATAGTTAAAGAGATGTTGCAAAGTATTTTAAGCTTTTCTACTCATACAGTAGTGTCTGTCAAGCATTTTAAACACCTGTTTACTTTCAGGAAATGATCATCACAGACCTGCAGGCTGAAACCACATACTCTGTAACAGTGGCAGCTTACACGACTAAGGGTGACGGTGCACGGAGCAAGCCCAAACTGATCACCACCACTGGCGCAGGTAATCCCAAAATGACCGATATGGACACTGGATGTTCAGCTTTTTTGACTTGCTAAAAGCACTCCAAATAATAGTGAAAATAACAGAAATAGTCTCTCATCACTGATTAGGCACGGTATTCTCATGGCATTGTTAGAAAAAAACAGCAACATTATCTAACAACTTTAATCTTAATTGGATATGCAAAATGACTCCCGCTGTTGCCCTGCGCCCTCAATAAACAATATAACAGATTCCTTTATTCCCCATTCCATGAGTCGGGAATAAAGGAAATTGAAATAAAAAAATATATATATATATATAGAGAACCATAAGAATATTTAACTGTATTCAATTAACAAAGAAAACATTGCATTTTATAGTTCTAAACACTCTGTTACTTTATTCCCACCATCAGTTCCTGAAAAACCTCGCCTTATGGTCAGCACAACAAACATGGGCACGGCTCTCCTCCAGTGGCACCCCCCGGCAATAACCCATGGGCCCCTGCAGGGCTACCGCCTTCGTTTTGGCCGCAAAGACGTGGACCCGCTGACTGTCATTGAGTTCCCTGAGCGAGAGAACCACTACACCACCAAAGAGATCCATAAGGGAGCCTCGTACACTTTCCGCCTTTCAGCACGTAACAAGGTGGGCTTCGGCGAGGAGACAATCAAAGAAGTCACCACAAATGAAGAAGTACCGAGCGGCTACCCTCAGAACATTAAAGCAGAGGGAGCCAGTACCTCCACGGTTCAGGTCAGCTGGCAGCCTGTTCTGCTGGCGGAGCGAAATGGTCAGATAGTGAAATATGCTCTGCAGTACAAAGACATCAACAGCCCACGCAGCCCATCAGAACTCTTCATCACTGCCCCGGAATCAACCGTCCTACTGGATGGGCTCAGGGCAGACACTACTTATGATATTAAAATGTGTGCCTTCACCAGCAAGGGCTCTGGTCCCTATAGCCCAAGTGTCCAATTCAGAACACAACCTGTGGATCAAGGTAGGACGAGACACTGAATCTTTTAGCCCTTTCCTCCCTCTTATAACCAGCCTTATCCTTCTCAGACCTGTTCAGCCACATCTTCCATCTTAATGCCTCAAAACGCTAAAGCCTACTTAACCAGAAGACTCTGGTATTTACATAATCCCCTATCATTAGTTTTTTTTGTTATCCTTTAATTTAAGGCCTCACATGGAGTAAGTATGTGTGTCTCTTTGTCTTTTGTCAGTAAAGTAAAGGTCAGTCATTACTGTATAAACCTGATGTTGGTAAGAAGGTAAGAGGACAGTTTTCAGTTCAACATAGTACTGGTTTCAACCTGGTTTTGAAGGACTTTTTTTCAGGTAAGCACTAGTGTGGGGTCGCAGAAAGATGGAAAGAAAGAGTGTTTTGTGTCTAAATCATTTGCTCCGCCTTTTTTTTAGCAGTGTTTGCAAAAAACTTTCACGTGAGAGCTGCTATGAAGACGTCGGTGTTGCTGACATGGGAAATCCCAGACACCTACAACGCTGCACAACCTTTCACTGTGAGTATGTCCTGGTGGTGTACGGAATTGCTATAAGCACAACTATCCCTGCAGCATTTGTATGAAATAAACTCCCCACCCCCAAAAATACAGATCCTCTACGATAACGGACAAAGTGTGGAGGTGGATGGAAAGTTAACACAGAAGCTTATCACGGGTCTTCAGCCAGAGACGCAGTACTCCTTCCTGTTGACCAACCGTGGGAACAGCGCTGGAGGTCTTCAACATCTTGTGTCCACCATGACCGCCCCGGACGTCCTCCGTACCAAGCCTTACATGATTGGCAAAACAAATTTAGATGGAATGGTGACTGTAGAGCTGCCCTCAGTCCAAACTTCAGAGAGAGTAAGGTGAGCATAGAGCATAAGAACGGACCGTATTTTGCTTGTAGTTTGAACTCTGATGATTTTTGGTTTATGATCTTAGATGAACAATATTTGACTGGTAATAAGGTTCAAAATTTAGTCTTAAAGTTCTAATGTATGCCATATCTATCAAAAGAGATTGTGATATAGGCTAAGTAAAAGATGTGCTACCAGGTTATATCTAATCTGGTAGCACATCTTTATATCTGTACTAGTTTTTAGCACAACTTTCTGAGCATTATGTACTCCTAATTCAGGATATTAGAAACTATTACTTTGTCGGCTTAACTTATAAGTGTTTTCTTTTAATATAGCTTAATCATTGCAAAACTTGGTAGATTAAAAAAATGTAAATGCAAAGACTTAAGCCTCTGACTTGTAATTACTTCCCTTTTCCTAGTTGCCAGTTTGGAGAAATCTGTAGCAAGGCTACACAAAGAAATACAATCTTGGATCATAATATGTTTGCCACAAAGAGGAGAGGAGTTGTCCTCTGTTACTGTTGAAATGTCCTCCTAAGTATTTCTCATTAGGCCTGGGTATGAGATGGTCCTAGTTCAATAACCTTGATCAATAATATCCCTGGAACCATTTTCTAACACACAAACACCTCCTTTAACACGAACTCAAAGACAAAATCATTTTTCAGGCAGCTGAAAGGCAGTGTGCAATAAAACAGATAGCAGTCCCGACCCTGGTTGTTTTTATGCCAAATTTAGGAAATACAATGTCACAGAAGCTTTATGTATTTTAAAACTATAGCATTTGCAAACCTCCCCTGGGTACCTGCGATCATCATGCTTAACCACCGCTGGTCTATGAACAGAATAGGGAAATGCACAACCAATAATTACTGACCTTGTCAAAATTATCTTTTTTTTTTTTTCAGAATCCGAATCAGACATACTTTAATAATCCCAGCGGGAAATTACAGTTTTTCCCCTGCGATTTGTCTTCCCCCCTGCTTTAAATACTAAAGCAGCCCAACTCCTTGGACATCCCTGGGCTCCCAAAAGCCCTGTAGAGTTTCAACAAAACTCAGGGTAGTGGAAGGCCAGTAAGCACATTAGATTGTACATGAAAGCTTCATACTCATCTGTCCTTTCTCTCTTTTTTTTTCTTTTTTCTTTTTTTAAGCTGGTTGTTTCATTTGGTCTGCCAGCTCCCATGATGCAGCCTAAGCTAATTAGTTTTCTATTAGCCTGCCACACTGCCTTGCTGGCTAATGTCAGGTGGTGCAATACCCAACCAGGAATGCTCAAATAGGTTTTTTGCCACCTAGATGATAGATGAAATTTCTTTATTTCTGTTGCCTGTATGCCTTCAGAAAGGCCTTTAAATAAGCTACATTTTAATTAATCCAGTAGAGACATGAGTGAGGGGTGATAATACTGACAAAACATTCTTAGAGGCGAAAAAAGAAAGGGGTGATAAAAGATCACATTTTTGGCTTAATATAAACTGTGTTTGCTCTCCTTGACTTCCATCATACTCTGTATTTTTCAGGGGTTATTATATTGTGGTTGTGCCTCTGAAGAAGCAACGCACAGGGAAGTTTTACAGTCCCTGGGACAGTCCTGATGAAATGAATCTGGAGGAGGTAGGTTCCGTAAATTGCTTTGTTACTGTGATGAAAATAACATTTCTGAAATACTGGTACGAATCATCCAGTTACAACTCACTTCATAAGTAAGGCTATAAAGTTATGTGCTGCTATCACATATTTATTTTCTTAAAACATGAACATACAAATCGAGACAGGTAAGAGGACAGGAGAGAGGGCCGATGGGTCTCTCTGATTGACGCAAATAGCTCCAGAGAGGACTGTTCATATGGAAATGAGGACATGAAGTAGCCATCAATTGCACTGGAAACTGCCATCCCATCCACACCTTCTCCTCCTTTTCCTCCTCTTTGTATTTGCAATAATTACCTGGAGAGCTGCATCAGGCTTTAGCGACTCTTCTCATTTCAGGCAAAACTAGCATGCAACAACTCAACAGCTTTTATATTTAGAATCATAAACTCAAAGGTAGGTAATTCTGGATTATCAAGGTCTTTTGCATTCACAACTAAATGTGTGGTATAATGAAAACTTTTATCACCTTAGGTTTAGAATTTATGGAAGCCGAAAGTCATGTCCCTCTGATACTTTTTCACTTTGGTTTTCTTAAGAAAACAAGTTAATTTTCTCATTATCTAAAGATAGCGAAAGCCGTTTTCTTGTGATAACGAGATGATAATTTTCTCATTAGAAAGCCGTTTTCTCATGATAACGAAATGATTGGTCAGTGTTAAAACTGATTACATCCTTCAAAACCACAACAGCAGGAGAGGATTTATAAGTATAAATCATGGCAGCCTATGCGTAATTCTGTAAATAATCATGTGTTTAAGTTTTAGGTAACGAGACGTTGTTTTGATGATTTGCTTACACTTCTGATTCATAATGCGTTCACACCTAAAGAAGCAGAGGCAGCAGAAGCGCCTAGTTTACATGCAAAATCAATGGTTGACGTGCATCAAGGCACAGCAAAAGGTTCTGCATCGTATTTTGAGCAGCAGAAGCAGCAGGTCTGAGCAGCTGAAGCAGCGATTATTGAGTTTCTGAGCATCGGGACACACTGCAAAAGCAACAGCTGCCGGAGTTGGAAAAATTAAACTTTTGTTGCTCGATGCGCCACATCAACCAATCAGAGAAGCTGATCTGGGAGCTGGCAGGGAGACAGACACTGCACTGCTGATGCAGATTACTATCATCACTCCTGCTAAACAGTCTATTAAATTCTAAATTAACTTAAAATGCCGAAATCTGCTGGACAAACATGTTCGCTTTTATTATCTTAGTGCCTGCAGTTTGGACTACATATGTGAAAAATGCTAACATCTACTTCCAGCCGCCGCGAACAGTAGTGGCAAACCGCGCAGAGGTGACCGAGCCAGAAGCTGCTGTTGAACAGGATTCCATGTGACAACACAGCGCCGGTGTACGGGGATCTGAGCGGCTCTGACAGCTAAATAATATTTGAAGGCAGGATCGTAATCTTGATAAAGTACAGATCTTTCTCACTTAAAAACATAAAAACTACTTTTTACACACTGACCAAAACAAATATTGCTGCCATTGTTACAGGCAAAGAAAGGATAGCGTCAAAGCTAAACTTGTACAAGCATCATAATTGAAAAAGCACACATATTTTTGCTTCTCTTGCTGCCTGTGGTGTGAATATAGCATAAGGAATTAGACCTATGCCTCTGGAACCTTAGCGCAAGGTGTTTTCTAAACAGCCCCAGTGTTACGTATGAGATGCATTAACTCCCAAAATGAGTCCAGATTAAATATTGTCATTAAAAAACAGTCAGATTTATTTTTACTGTATTCCATGCAATCCAATCATCCACCACGACCTGACAACGAGTGACAAGAAAACTTAAAAATGGATTATTTGCGCACACGCAGTACCACGACTGCACAACTAAGTGCACCACAGGCATGGATGGACTGGGAATCCAGGTCTATTAGCCAGCCTCTTTCATTACTCATACAGGTTAATCATCTCGTTATCTCGAGAAATCAGTAACTGTTTCCTCGTGATGACGTGATAATCACATAATCTCGAGAAATCGGGAAATGGTTTTAACGTGATGACGAGATTGTTATATCATATCACGAGAAGTCAAAGCGGAAAAAAAGTCGAGTACGACCTCAGCTTCCATAAGAATTCAAGTTGGGGTCTCATGTTAAAAGTTTGATAATTGACTGATGTTTATAACTAATTATCAAATTTTTACTTCCATTTGTTTTTCAACTGATAGCTCTTATGACTTAGTGTTTTTTATTATTTTTATGAGAAACATGTAAAAGAACGAAAGAAAATAATTAGGATAAGCCAGCATGTAGCCAAAAGCCACCAAAGTTTGATGACTTTCCATATGGATCAAGGCATATCACTGTGGTATGGATTTATAAGTAGATGATTTATACACCAGTTTATTCAGAGAGGAAGAAAACATCTGGGGACATAGACTGAGAATAATAACATGCAGACCTAAAAAAACGGAACAATACCCAGGGATTTTTAAGCTCTCTTGTCAGCCCTGCCTACCTGTGTCTTCTAAAAGTGGCCAGTGTGAGCTTGTGACAACAACTGTGATTCAAAGCAGAAAAAAAAAAACAGCATGTGGGTTAGAAGTTACACTTTCTGCTACCGTTCTGACCAGCTTTGTTACCTGTCAAAACAATTCTAGCAGTTTCACGAAAAATATTTTTTTTACATCTAGAATTTTATTTCCTCTACAGTGATGTAATTCTTAAAATATCATTCAAATGTCACCATATACCATCTTGCTTAAATATTTATTATTTTGGATTCCTTGATAAACCCTACCTGTTCAAGGCCAATGTGTTCCCAATAAGTTTATTTAATTAGGACCGTTCTTCTATCATTTTCATCATGTAAGTAACAAAGATTTGGAAATGAAATGGGGCAATACAGAAATAGACAATAATTCTTAACAGAAAGCTCTGGTTGTGTGCATCAGATTGCCCTTGATCTAAAAATGCTGTGTATTATCTCAATATGGCTGGAGCTAGTGATGTCTCATCATTTACAAACAACATGTGTATGATTAATGATGTGAGATGTGGCAAGGTTTGACTGTGCAGATCTATAAAAGCTTCTTTTAACTGTTATCCGGAGCCGCCCCTCACTGAGGAAGAAAGCCCGATTGGCCTACTGTATGTAACCTGAGCCATTTCTCTGGTCTAAGTAAGATTAAATTCTGTTAAACCTGCAATCATATTTTAAAGTGTTGTATTAAAAGTGTTTCTTCACAGTGATCTCTTTCAATAAACAATCAGGAAGAGAAAGCTCAAAGGTGTAAACACCATAGCCATCTGTTACAAATCACTGTTCTGAAATGATCATCTGTCATTTGGAGGGAACAATTGAATTCATTGATTAAAGCAGTCTTGTTTTACTCTCATCAAAAAAAAAAAAAAACGCTGTAGGGAAACTGATTTTTTTGAACACCTGAGAAACCTAAAACACTGTCTCCTCAATACTCTTACTGCTGTTGTGTCCTCTTTTTATCAGTCTCGATTCCCTTGAAACAAGAAGTTTTCTTAAATCGTTTAGCAAAAAGTGTTTCAAAACAAGATACTTTTTGGTTGGCGAGGACAAATCTGTTTTCTTAAAAGATTTACTTTTTAAAAGCTCACCTTTTTTTTGCTTGTGACGATCTTTGAGGAAAACACCAATTGAGGATGTTTCAGTAGGGAGTTTTTTTTTGTTAAGAAAAGCCTCAGTTTTTCTGTTAAAAATAAAATACAGTTACCCTGTGAAGTGACATAAACTCTGTCATCACTCCACATTTGAAAGTACCTTTTGGTTTTAAAGGGCCATAGCTCCAAATATCTATCAGAGTGTGTTTTAAGGTTACCTGATTTGCTATATAATGGAAAGCCAACTTATGATTTTATGAACTTATAATTTTCCTGGCTCTGAATATATGGTAAAGGTATCAATAGTGTTAGTGCCTTTATAACAACCGCTATTTCAATGTGGCAAAGACTGTAAGACTTCTATTTCTTTATTATATTTATTTTCTTGATGTGCACCTCACATGATATGACATGTCCAAATGGATAAAATAATAAACATCCAGCGACGCCTTCACGGCTCTTGTCTGCAGGCCTGTGTCTGTAGCCTTGACCGATGGCCCAAAGAGTCACCCCTCTGTCAGAATTTATTTGTTTGTCAATATTGGCACTCACCTTTTCACAACTTTTCCCAAGGGCAGCTAGATTTAGCCATGTTGACAGGAGAGATGATTGAAGACATTATCGGGCAGCACCAACAGCCCCGCAGCCAAAACAAAGCACACAACCTCCGAGGACACACACTCCGTAGTATGAATGGCAGTACCCTCCTCACACACACAAACAGTGTTATCCATTTGCAGAAGTTAGATATATGAATTCAGACACAGAAACAGCTAACCAGACTTGATTAGCATAATTATCATCCATGCTTTGTGAGGGGAAATGTGAATTTGACGACACTCGCTTGTATGAAGGACATTGTTTTCCTCGTAGGATCATTATCACTAATGGCCAGAAAAGATAGGGGGTGAAATAACTTACCCAAATAAGCTTTTATGAATTAAAAACCCAACTGATGTTATGTTTAAACCCATAAATTAAAGTCAGAAGTCATTTTGTTTGGCAGCGTGTTAAACTTTTCTTCTCATTCTGGTGTTAAGATTCCTTTTCTGCAGAAAATTAGTAGAAAATGAATTACAGTATGCTAATCAAACAGTGCTAAATTCCTTCCAGATTCTACTTGTCGATGCATTTAGGCAGAAAAAAGGCTTTTGATTGTATCACCAGAGCGATGTCATTTTAAATTAATTCAGGCTGTTTCTTACCGTTTGAAGCTTCTGTATAATCCTCAGCCTTTTTTTAAATGATGGAAATCCACACAATCTTTTAATCTCTCAATCTTTTGTCTTCAATCAAACTAAAAAGAAATAAATAAAATGACATTAGATGAAATAAAGAAACGCATTGATCTTTTCTTTTATGTTCTGGCTTTTTTGCAATCAACATTTTCAGCTCAGCAATCAGAGGAGATGTTAGATGCATTGAGTGTGGGGTTTGTATTTGCGTGCTGCTGGAACGTTTTATCAACCATCCTTTTTTTTCACCCCTCACTATAGCTGTTAAAGGAGATAAACCGGACGAGCAGAGGCCTTCGCTTCCAGAGGCACGCCGAGCCCAAAGCCTATATCGCTGCACACTTCAAAGACCTGCCCAAAGAGTTCACCCTTGGAGATGGCAAAAACTACGGGGACTTTGAAAACAAGCAACTCCAGAACGGCCAGGAATACATTTTCTTTGTTCTCGCTGTGCTGGAGATGTCAGAAAACGTAGGTTTGCTTTTCTGGTTTAACCCCCAAAAAAACAACAACAAAAAACCAAAAACATGCTAGTTAAATGATCTCACTTGTTGTGTCCCTTGCACTACAAACTTCCATGTCTTTTGATGGGATTTTTTTTTCCAGCGTTTTTTTTTTATTGTCATTACAGCGCAACAAAATTCACTTTCTGCATTTAACCCATCCCCTTGGGGAACAGTGGGCTTCCATTGTGGGGTGCCCAGGGAGCAGTGTGGGGTTAAGGGTCTTGCTCAGGAACCCAGAGTGGCAGTCTGTGAGAGTGGGTTTCAAACTCACAACCTCAGGGTTCCTCGCTCTATGCCCTAACCAATAGGCCACCACTCCCCCAATATTTTTAGTAATATGCCAAGAAAAGGTTGTGTTAATATAAACTGAAAGGAATACAGTACATAGTTTTCAATATATTTTCATTAAGAATTAAATGTGAATTTATATTTTGCCTTCTGTTTTAGAATGCCATTTCAGAAATCAGCTGACTAGCCAACAGAGTTCGCTTGTGGGAAAGCGGATTTCAAAACAAACCTCAGCTGTTCTGTCAAAGACTGAGATGTTTACAATTCAATTCAGTTTATTTATATAGTGCCAATTCACAACACGTCAACTCAAGGCACTTTACAGTTAGCCAGATGATACAGTCTAATTGATACAATGTTTTCTGTATTAGGGGCAGTGGGAACAGTTCACTGCCGCGTGTCTACCCGGGTCAAACGTCTCGGCAAGTGACCCGCATTAAAATTGCCTTGACTCTGATTGGCATGCTGTGGGAACACCAAGCCCGGGTTGACACGCTAAATTACATGACAACTTTGAACGCAACGTATGTACTTCACAACATTGTTCTGGATGTGTGTTAAATGACAAGCCCAAACATCTCTGCTTGTATTCGAGAAACATGTCACAGCACTGGCGAGATAGAGGAGAATCATCTCCAGGTTTCTGGCACTGGAAGACTTTGTTGAAAGGACAGCTATTACTCATGGCATCAAAAACGCAATCCTATTCTGATAAATAGCACGAGGAAACACGTTGTTGTAAGAAAGTCAAAAGACATCCTGTTTGCCAACTTGTGTGTTAAGTTACTCAAAGTTTGTGCAAACCATTAATATGTGACAAAAAAAGTAATGCTGCAGGTGAACAAGATAACTGCATCCCTATGGTGAAACATGGTGGTGGCAGCATCACACATTTATTCTTGAAGACTCTTGATGACACTTGAGACTGGGGTAGAGGTCCCCCTTCCTGTAGGTCTCAGGGCTAAAAATCCTTAATCCCGTTATTTATTTTGCCGTGGAAAAAATATTTAATACTTTTATCATTTTCCTTTAACTTCATAATTTTTCAGTCATTATATCCTATAAATATCCACTAAAATATATTGATGATAATTGCAGAAAACATGATTAAATAGGTGGTTGTCAATATTTAAGCAGGGTATTGCAATTTTGAAGCTCATGTTCTTGCCCTTTCTAACAAATGTTATTAAAATGGTCAAATCCACTCCATCTTAGCCAAAGGTCACAGTCTACCTCTGGTTATGTGTTACTGTGAACATTTATGCAGCTTTGGGTTGAAAACCTAAAGCGGCAGCAGGAACAGGTCCAAGAAGCAGACTCTTTAAGGAGAGAAACCCCCTGAAGACCTTAGCTGATCGCAGAAACACCTTGATAACAGAGCTCCTCTTTAATTGCATCCAACGTGTGGTCCACCTTATCTCCGCTGCTCCAGCCAGTGTGTGAATAGGTGCGTGTGTGTGTGTCAGTGTGGACGAAAGGGCAGAAAGCAGCATGATTAGGCGGCTGCAGGCAAGATGATGGATTTGATGAGCTCCAGGGTTTACAGCTCTGCCTCGTACTCTCTTCACTAACCCCGAGTTCAGGTAGATAATGACGGACGGACGCAAATCTCTAATTTGCCCACTAACGCATACATTTTCTTCCCTCAAGACCTTTTTTTTATCTCTAGTTGGAATATTAAATGGTTCAATCAGCTCTTTCCTTGAGAAGAAAGATACTGAGATGATCGGTACTGGCAAATAACAGCTGTGCAAAGATTACTCTGGAGAAAACTTTAAATTTGCTCATTGAACTGCACCTAGTAGATGAAAAATACATGGCGTTACCTATCTATTTGCAAAAAACCTAAGGTGTTCTTTATCTTGACCAATGGTTTGATTTATTTTTATTTTTTTCTTTTCAGATCATGTATGCCACCAGCCCTTACTCTGACCCAGTTGTTTCAGCAGACCTCAATCCCCAGCCAATCATGGATGAGGAAGAAGGCCTTATCTGGGTGGTGGGGCCCGTCCTGGCAGTTGTCTTCATCATATGCATCGTCATCGCCATCCTTCTTTATAAGAGGTTAGGATAATACAGCTTACACTACTTTACCTTACCTGCTGCATCCATATGAAAAAGTCACCAGGTGCACATGATGGATGAATTATGATGAATTGTTACATTTAAAATTAAAGATGTATACAAAAGCCCTAAAATTAGTGCACAGCATCACTGATCAGCTACCATGCTTAAATGTGGTTAATGGGTGTTTTGAACTAAGTGTTATAGGAAACTCATGTATAGACTCATTACACTACAGCATCCAGTTCCAGAAGCAATTTAACTAACTCTACATGTTAACTCTTGTGATGGTAGATGGGTATGTTATATCGCATAAAAAATGAAGGCATCACACATTAAAAACTCCAATTTAAATCTTTTTTAATAAGCTGGTTTAGATTTTTCTAAGATCTTACAGATACAACATTCTGTTCATTGATAACTTTTGGGTAAAGAATCAAACTGGAGAGATGGGTAGTAGTTCTACTCGCATTTAAACTTTAGGGAAAAACCTTAAAAATAAAGGCTGGAAAAAAAGGATTTTAACATAAATTCTTTAACATAAAGAACCATGTGTTTTACATTAGCGGCTTTCCAATAACTGTCTTACATGTAGTTGACCTCTAATGGTTGGTGTGTGGACTTATCAAACTGTAAGAAGCCAATAGCTGCATTTTATTGTAGGTGACAAAAAGATAAACTTAGGTCCTCGTCCAGTCTAGATGGTCAAGTTTCAGTTGTTTTAAATGTATGAATTATTGCTCTCATTAGTAGTTATGACTAAACTCTGACAAGCTGCAATTTTATTGTGGCCATTATCTAAAAGCTACAGCTATTGGTGTTTTCAAATTAGAGCTGGTTCTCCTTTCATTTACATTTTAAAATGTATATGAATTATTTTAGTTGCCCATCAATGGTAGTTTTTTTGTTCCCGATAAACACATTTCAAAATATTAAAGGCTTGATTTTGAAAATATGTCTGGAAAAATGCCACTGCAATAAAATATGTATTATTTTAATGCTTTTCCAAGCTTTATTGAAGGGACTGAAATATGAAGAACCCAACATTCAATGTAGATGCAGAAAAGGGGATTTTTACCTAAAGCCTAAAGCACATTGATCCTTGGACTTGATGTGACCTTTAATCTCAGTAAGTCACATTAATTTGAACATGAGTAATTCCCAACATGCAGCTACCCAAACTGTCAGGCCAACAGCGCCGGAGCTCAGACGCCCACGGCCCTTCAAACAGACACGTCTGCTGACTGATGGTTAATCACACGCATCCCTCTACACTCACACTTTAAACTGTAGCAAACACCGATGTAAAGCATTCTCCACTAAATGAAAATAAAAATATCCCTCTTTTTTTCCCATCGGGACCCCCCAGTGATATTTTAGCCTCTAATGTCACTGCTCATCAGTCAAGCGTAGGAGGAAAAAGCTTTGACTATCTGCTGCCTGTCACTGCATGTGTGTGAAGCTTTCAGAAGGACCCCGGGGTCTGGGCTCACTTCCCAGCCATTCCAACCATCCTCCCTCACTCCCTTTCCCACACCTTTCACCGCTCCCCATCCTGCTCAGGGACCTGGGCTACTGATCCTTGTTTTTGACCTTATGCTACCCCCTATCCTGTCCTCCTGTTCTGCCAGGACATGCATAGCTTACAAACATGTATCTGCACATATTTATGCCTGTAGATTGTTCACCTCCCCAACCGTCTACTATAGCCGTCTCAATAACCAGTAATTAATTCAGTTTAATGTCCACACCTAAAGAGATTTTTACTGCAGTTTCAGGCAGTTAGATAAGAAACTGAAGTGTCAGCATGAACTAACACCGGAGAGGATGTCAATACTAAAAGCAAGGAAAAAGACAATCGATCTGAGTGGAAATTAGTTTAGTTTTTTTCATTCTAAATTTTCCTTAAATTAAACAATAACACACACTTTGAGTTCAGCTTACCGTCTTTAAAAATAATGAAGATTTTAACAATTGAATTTTAAATGTTTTGTTTTGGCCATTTCAATACAAAGAAACCATCTTGATTGTGATGCTCAGGATCACTGAAAACACCATATTTCAATGTTGCAAGTTTTTTTTTTTAAATTAGGTGTTTCTGAAAGGTCTTATGGGGAGTGGTGGCCTAGGGGGTTAGGGCATTGCGCTTGGAATCCAGAGGTTCTGAGTTCAAGCCCCACTCCCACAGACTGCCAATCTGGGTCTCAGATAAAAAAACCCTTAACCGCAACCTGCTCCCCGGTGGCTGCATAATGGCAGCCCACTGCTCCCCAAGGGGATTGGTTAAATGCAGAGAGTCAATTTCGTTGAACTGCATTTGTGACAGCGTAATGACAATAAAAAGCTGAGAAAAACAAGGAAATAAAACTCATGCTATATATAAGTGTGGATAGAAGTAACGAGAAGGGAATCAAGGGGAAAGGAAACTGGCACAAGGGGCAACAGAGAATAAAATAAAAACACAACACTGCCAGAAAACAACTACAAAGACACACAATTACAGATAAACTGAAAATAAATCTAAACGAAAGGCAGAACCCTGACACAAAGTTTATAAAATGCTGACTTTAATACCAACCTTTTACTTTTAAACCAAGGTTAAATTAGCCAATGTAGTGTTGTTATGATGTGCTTACAGTACACAATATGCGTATATCTTGTAGAGCCATCCACTAAATGTAGGTTCAATTAATCCCACCATGTGCCATCAACAACACTAAATGGTTCCGCCTCTTCTAGCTGCAGCTGAGCTAACAATGACGATTAGCTCTGACTGGTAACGGGGGAAACGAGCAAGCTCCATGTCTCCTCTACTGATCCTCCAAAAATAGTGTGGAACCCTTTCTTCATTACGAGTGCCATTATTTGAAAAAGTTAGTGTCAGTAGCCAGAGAACGGGCGGTAGTTGTCGTGGTTCAGGTGATGGGGAACAAAAAACTCCTGACCTATGCAAGAGTTAACAAATCAACCACAGGGTTTCGCCTCCGCAACGCAAATGTAAGATATATAGACAAGTCATCATGGCGGCTGGTTCATTCCTATAATACAGTGGAGGAAACACTGGACAACTTCAACAAAACGGCAAAACAGTGTGATCTGCTGAGCCTGAACATAACAGGAAACTGTACTTGTACAAAACAATCAAAGCAATTAGACTGATTTATTTTGTATCTTATTGAAACCTAATCCCGTGCTCCACCACCCATTACATTAAAGTCAACAATCCCACGTGCTGTTATGATATAAAAGACCAAATGTATGAATATTTAGTGTGAACCATTTCTGGGTTTCAGAATTGCATACAACAGTTAAGGACAAGACCAAGCAGACACACCAATTAGCAGCGAGGAGATGACTTTCATGCTTGAACAAGAAGCAATCAGCTGAACCTGCTTGAAATAGCATAGATACATTGTATGATTCTTGGTTGCACCTGGGATTCTGTGATGTCTGAAACAAAGAGAATCTCAAGGCTGCATAAATGAGCATAATCCCCCAAAGTAAAGCATCACTAATCTTGCACACAAAGCAAAAAGTCAAGCGTGATGGATTCATTTTTTCTCTTCTGCTGCTTTTGATTCAGTCTCTGGAAGTCTCAGTAATATTCATATCTAAAGGTCTCACTGCCTAATGCTGTGTTGCCATTTCTTTCCTTTGCTCACCCTCGGAGCAGCAAACCAGACAGGTAAGAGTGTCAAAGAAGTGAAAAACATTGTCTTTCCTTTTGCACATTAATGTAAACAAATACATCTCTCCCCAGCAGCCGAAACATGTTTTATATTGCTAGCATTACATTTTTTTCAATAAAAAAATGTGAAAAGGGGGCCACAGTTCAAATAAAAATTAAGAAACTATTCTGAATGTCTGTGGAAGTATTGAAAGCTATTTATGATTAATAAAATGAAATCCTGGCTTCTTACAGTCAGTGAACATAGAAATTAGGGCTGGTTTTGCATCTTGCTATATAATTAAGAGGATGTACACACCTGGGTGCATATGAGGTTCAGCTCTCATTGCTCCCATTTTTCTTAAAAGCTGAATGCCTGACCTGACACTATCACTTAAATGTTAATATTAAGCTTCACTAAGGGTAGAATTAACCACCAAAAGGCTATAATAGTACAAGCCATTAGACATTGAAAAGATGTTACTCAGACTATTCCCTGTAGTCCTGTGTGCAGAGAGAATTTAGTCCTGTCAGCTCCTTAATTACATATTTCCACTAATTATTCCTGGGACAACAAGGCACATTTAGAGGTTATACAAGAATAGCAAAAAAAAAAAAAAAAAGCTGTTTTCTAGTGTAGAGGAAATTTAAATTTTGTTTTATATCCTGCAGAAAAAGAGCAGAAAGTGAAGCCAGAAAAGGCAGCCTTCCAAACAGCAAAGAAATGCCTCTTCATCATCCTACCGATCCCGTTGAGCTTCGACGTCTCAACTTCCAAACACCTGGTAAGTATACAAAATCAAGTGTTACATAAAAAAAAAGAAAAAAACTGAATGTGCATCTTGGGGAAATGGTCTGAATGCCACTGATTGCTCCTTCCGGGGGAACAAACCCAAATAAATCCTCTCATCACCTTTTCTGTAAGACTGACACTGAGGAAGAGAAAGTTATTTTAGAGGGGGGCGTGAACAGGTGCTCTGAGAAAGGCAGAGAGGGTCATTACTGACATTAGTCTCTGGTGAGACGCTTTGCAGTGGAGAAACCTGGAGGCAGAAATGCAAGATTGACACTTGCGTGGCATATGTCATCTCTGCCCGCATCTGAGTCATGCAGGTCATCACAGCTTGTCATGCTAACACAAGATAGTACAGACCTGCACTGGTGAAGTTGAGAGAAATATGAAATTAATCACTGCTGTGTTCTTCTCTCTATGTTAGAGCCAAAAGATAAAATGAGGAAGGGAGAAATCCCTCAAAGTCATCACCTCTTGGCTTATTCACATCTGGATTATTTAAGATTCCGGCTCTGTTTATTGTATCATTGCCCTTTAAAGTTGCTCATATTTTGTCACTTTAAAATCTAAAACCTGTGTGGACATTTTATGTAATAATTTAACACACAGTGGGTGTAAAATGGAAGAAAAATGATACATGGTTTTCAAATGTGTTCTAACTTTGCCTTTCTATGATGCCCCTAAATAAAATCCAGTGTAATCAGTAAAACAAATTGCTATTCTGTAAAGGTCTGAAAGGTACATTAGCAAATAAATGGCACAATGCAGAGCATAAACATAGCAGCCAGATCAAAGATGAAGTTGTGGAGGTGTTCAAAGTAGAGTTAGTCTGTTAAAAACAACATCCCCAATGTTTAAAATCTCACAGCAAACTATTTAATCAGTAATATTAAATGGGAAGCATATGCTACAGCTCAAACGATATCAGGTTGTAGCTGTCCACCTAAAACGAGGAATGAACTAGAAGAGTATTTAGTAGATAAGCAGCCAGTTGGCAGATAGTAACTCTAGAGAAGCTGAAGAGATCAACAGGTTTGAGAATGTTGATTGGACAACCTTTAGTAATCTCCTCAGATTTGGTCTTTATGGATAAGATGCGTTCAAAATTGCTTATGGTTCAAATAATAATTCTGATTATCCAATAAGCTTTCCTGGTTCAGTTGAAGGAAATATTCATCGTCTAGCCAAGAACCTGATGCATATGTTTTGCTCCCTTTTGGTGATTTGTCCATAATTGGAATCGGCACATTAGATGTTAAGGTATTGTGGAGGATTTTCGAGAATTTTTTAAAACACCTGCCATCACCACTTAAAAAAAAAATGCATATGCACAACCCTGTACCCGCTCCCGAGAGGGAACGCCTGTTAAAAAGTGTGTGAGAGCGTGCACGAGCCCATTTCTCCTCATTTACTAGCAGGGATATGAAATGGATTTCTCCAAATAGCATGCCGAACTTTACCTGTCGAATAGAAACTTCGCAACTGAGGCATCAGTGGGAAGCCCGACCTGTGCTTTCAGTGTGCCCTATCGCGTCAAACACTCTTTTGAAGACTTTCCTTTCTGGTCTTCTCATACACTTAGTAGACACTTTTTCTCTTACGACCCTTGGCCGCCTTTTTTAAAGAATCACGATGAGAAAGGCGAGCTTCAATGACTGGCTGAAACCAAACATATACGCCTGAAAGTATGCGTGAGCACAAAAAGATAAGTAACTGGGGGCGAGCTCGTAGGACGGCCTTATGTGAACATATCACCATAATACTTGACAATTTGGAGGGCCGCTTATTTTGATGATCCACTCGCAAAAAGAAAATCCTTCACTATACCTTTAAAGAAAACATGAAATCAGCATTATTAATGCTGATTTCATGTTTTTCTGATTAGCGCAGCTCTACCAGTGACGTTTTTAAATTAAAATAGACAGTGAGTCCATATAAAAATAAGCTGTGAAATCTGTGATAAAATACATTTTCATTTGCAGAAAATGGATTCATAGGTTAAACCCTGTTCTATAAACCAAACAAACGATCAGATCAATCACTTTACCTCTGTGTTTATAAAATGTTTGTGTTTTTTTTGTAGAATACTAATGTTCCATTTAGAATAGAAAAAATCGATCTGTCTTATCCAGCTTTGACTCTTTAAGTAGTAGTTAAAAACCATCATCACATTGCTCTAACGTCTGTAATGAAGTTAATTCCACCACCATTTCCTCCACAGGTTCAGGTGCGCCCAGTCACCCCAGTAACCTCCATTTGTCAAGTTAGTTGGTCTCGATTATGCTTTTGACATGACCCATAATCGTTCTCTTTAGCTTCAGTTCTTTCCTCCTTTTGTTTCTGCTAAGTTTTATATTTACATCCACATCTAATTCACCATGCCTTTAACATAATGTCATTGCAGGGGGTGGAGTTTGAAATGACATCATTCAAAGCAGATGTCAACTGCTGGCTTAACATTCAATGTGTGATGTTTGGTTGTGTTTGTGCACACGCCGTCATTGCTAACTATCCACTGCAGCGTTCTGTGTCAATAACATTTTTCTCTCTCCATAGGGAGCGGGGGCTAAAGTGTGCTCGATGGCCTCTCATTGGCTTCTGTGTCTCTTTATTAGCATGGTCACTGCTTTGAGTAAACAAACTAGCCTAACAATTTCCACTCTTCCACCTTCACCTCTTATAATCACACAGCTAATCAAGGCTTGTGCTCGGGCCATGATCAGTCTATCTTGTTTTTTTTTTATTGTTGTGATAGGTATGGCAAACCACCCTCCAATCCCCATCATGGAATTAGCTGATCATATAGAGCGCCTGAAAGCCAATGACAACCTGAAGTTTTCGCAGGAATATGAGGTGAGTATCCTGTAATAAATAAGCTCTGGGTTGAGACAATTAGAAAATAGATCTTAATTGTTTTTCTTGGAGGTAAAACCCTGTTAGGGCAAAAGACTATTTGTGATTCTTAGACTCATTTAAAGATTCAAAATCATTCTGAATACTGTTTTCAGAGAAAGTTCTAACTCAACCAATAATAATAAGAGATGCATCAAATTTCGTCAGTTGTTATATAGATATTATATAAAACTAATTACACTGATTAGTATATATATTCTCAGCAAAAACATTCAGCAAAAGTTTGTGTTTTGTATAAAGTTGGATAAAAACAGTCCTGAATCTTTTAAAATGATATAACATTATCCAAATTATGCACAAAATTGGTTAAACTGCTTTATAAAATAGGGAAAGTCTTGCATTGGTGATGCACAAAGAGCAAAACTAACATATCAAGGGTATCTTGTAATAAAGGTAGATAATGTCAAGACCCTCTGGAGGGTTCTCCAACAATTTGAACATTAGCCATATACTGTTTTTAGATCAGTGAAACGCTTTTCCTGTCATTGACTCTTGATGAGAAATCAGCAAAAAAAATGCACCCTCGCATTAAAAGAAAATGATTCGATGAACATTTTCTGCACCTTTTTATGTGCAGAACATTAAGTTCCTTTACTATTTTTAAGGTCAGCCTTTGGGCATCAAACTGCCAGGCTGCCCCATTCTTGGTGCCACATTATGACTTTTTAAATCTAATTCCATACAACATTTTCGAGTACTGGAAAAACATTTATGTTCCACCGGATTATAAAGATGTTTTTTTATTGTGAGCAGTGCAAGTAATTCAACATATTTTCATTGACCAGCCCTTAAGCCTTGATATATACGGGACATATTGAATATTGTCTATGTTTAGATAAATAAATTAGAAACTAAATCATCCTATGCTATTTTAGACATTTTGAAAACACTTTTTTGCACAAACACTTGTACTACGATTGTGCTACAAAAGCTTATCAATACCTATACTGTGCCTGTAGGGGTTGGATTAAGTTATAATTAGCCTAATCCAATCAGACTATGGCTAAAGCAGAACTGGACCAACGATTCTGGCAAAATAGTTGTAGTCTCGCTCATGTTTTCTTGATTTTTTCCTTAGCTTTCCTATCAGTCAAATATAACTTCTTGAGCTTTTATGAAAGCATGATGGAAACAGAGACTGCCCATAGTAAAACAAAATGTGGAAAAACCCATAAAGTGTATTATTGCTGTGGTTTCCAGGACTGTAATCTATAGTTGGCATATCCAAAGTAGGCATCCAACTCAAAATATATAATAATCTGTTCGGAGCCTCTCAATTACACATTAACTTACATTTTTTTTATTTGATTAGGGGTAATGTCACATTTCTGGCCTAAACAGGGATAAGAAACAAATTAAATTGGAACAGAAAAACAAAATCAGATAAAACTTTATTATTCATCAAAATATTTTACTTTGAAGAGAACTAAAGGGATAAACAGTAGTTTAAGCAGATACGTATAAAATAGTTTGTGTATAGATAAACACACTTAGGGACAAAGTGGCATCAAGATGGCAAATAATGAGGAAAAAAATTAGAAAAGAGGCAAACTAACCTAATTTTATCAGCCAAATGCCTCTAAAAAAAGCTGTAAGAAGTTGTAGGATTAAAATTGTCTAGAGTTAAACTTGCCTAACTTATCAATTATTTGAAAGCTTGCAGTGTTTAGCGTGTCTATTGTAGTGTAAGTAACTGTTCCCATAAAGTAGTATTTCATTAATATTTCACAGCCTTCCTTTTACTGTTTCTGTTTTTTTGGTACCAAGAAGGTCCTGCAGGAGCGCATGAAAGTAAAATCAATATTATGCATAGCAGAAGCACATAATGTACATCTTCAGCCTTTTCTCCCTCCAACAACTGTGCTCTTAGTTGTGAAAAGCTAAGATGGGATTTAGGGTCAACTGAAACATCAGACGTACCGTGCTGAAATATTTATAAGTTCTTTTACTTAAAATAAATCTGTAACTCCTTGCTAAACAAGAGCTAGATGGCGTTTTCATACATAAAACTTACATTTATAAATCAAACATCAGTCAAAAACATTAGATCAAACTTGTATATGCAGTTTTGCTGCCAACAACCTAATTATCAGAATTCCAACACTTCCATTTTGACTATAACCATTCTCTGATGCATTTTTATTGATGTTTCATAAAAAACATTTAATTGTAATAATAATTCATCACTCTTATCTCTTCCAGTCCATCGACCCCGGTCAGCAGTTCACTTGGGAGCACTCCAACCTGGAGGTTAACAAACCAAAGAACAGATACGCAAATGTGATTGCCTACGATCATTCCAGAGTCCTGCTCTCTGCTATCGATGGTATGCCTTCCACCAACTTCTTCCCTCGCTAACGGCTGTACCAATTGTATTGAAAGCCTGTAAAAAGGGTCTTGAAGACCTAAGGGGTCCTACTGTGATGTTGGATTACATGGTCGTCATACATAAGCATCACACCACTCCACTTCCGCAGAAATGCTGGTTTACATTACAAATATACAAGAAAACCTCCGTCGCAGGATTACTTGCAGCTCAAAATTCAAATTATTGGATTATTGCTGAAGTTTAGAAATGTTACTTTGTACTATTACTAATGATATTTTGTACTATTGCATTCAACTCTCTATTTTTGATGTTAATAGATGATGAAATGTTTTAAAATTGGACATTCATGTAAGAAAATAGAATTGTATCACATTTGTAAAAGGTTAACAAAGCAACACTTGTATTTAGTGTTTAATAAAATAACTGTCATATTTCTTTTAGAAAATAAACAATATATCAACAGGGAAACATCTAGCTAGACATAACTATGATCTTCCTAGCAAAGAGCTAAATAAATAGTTTCAGTTAGTCTATTCATTCATTTCAAACTATACAGTTGATTGAAAAAAATTAATAATTATATAAATGTATCTATGAAGGATGGTATGAAGTAGCATCTTCAATGTGTTGTTCATTGGTGCTCCTTATACATGAGAGGCGATCTGGCCCTTCAACATTGCATTTCGTTCTGGCCCTACATCGTTGCATTTCATTCATTAATTTATGATTCAACTCAACTACACACACAAACAATTAAGCATTTTCACTCAGCTGCTCCTATGGAAGAAGGGGGGGGGGGGGTGACTTGTCTGCAGACTATTCAAAAGCAGAGCTCAGTAGAGTTCCTAAAAAATGTACTATAGTAAGAGTCACACTACTTTTACTTAAGTAAAAATAGAAAGTATTTATTCAAGAAGTGTATTCAGTTAGAGTAAAAAAAAAGTTACTTGTAAAAGGGCTACTCATGCACTGACTAATGAATGGCTCGTTACATCTGATCTATTGTTTGAAATTATGGAATCAGACAAATGGGCAAATTCTGGTATTCCAAAGTATAAATTGAAATCAAAAATAAAAATAAATAACATGATTACAAAAAACAAATTTGAGCACCTTTCCAAATAAAATGTTTTAACCTGAAATTATAAAGTCAGTTTTTACAGTAAGTAATGCATATTATTTTAGAAAAGCATAAATAACTTTTAGTGACAATGTCTATTGTTTTCTCTATCTTACCTACCTTCCTTACCTCCGAATAACTTGTTACTATTAGTGCATAGTTTTAACAGATGTTTTACTCAAGTAAGAGTAGTAATACACTCACAAGAATGTTACATGCAAGTAGGTATGCACTTACAAGGAATTTCACTTGGTGTTGATGGTGCAGACAAATTTGATATAAATACAGAATCTGTAGCTATAATAAAAAAAAAAAAAAAAATATATATATATATATATATATATATATATATATATATATATATATATATATATATATAGTATATACAAATTTATAATATTTAGCTATATACTATATACTCAGTAGACTGTGCGTTAGTGTAACGCAGGGGGTCTGGAGAAGCTATGTTGGTGTAGCTTGAAGGTCCTGAACTGGGGAAGGAGGGAGGCAGTTTCAGAGTCACTGGAGTCTCTGGGCCTTGTTGATGAGGCTAGTAGCAGATGGGAAGAAACTGTTCTTGTGGCGGGAGGTTTTGCTCTTGATGGACCGCAGCCTCTTGCCAGAGGAACGTATCTGAAATAGTTTGTGGCTGGGGTGCGAGGGAGCAATGGAAGATTGCAGCCAATCATCTTTTCTGCAGACCGGATACAGCGCTGAGTAAATAAAACTTCTCCTAAAAGTAAATTTTATTTTAAAAGTTACTCAAGTTAATGTAATTGAGTAAACTTATCTAGGTACTACCGAGCTTTTTTTTCCGAAGCAATCTTTAGCTCAGTATTTTAATGGAGCTCTATTAGTCATTTTTTCCCACAGTAGTCCATTGTTTTTTTGTTTTGTTTTTTTTTTAAGGGTTTTTTTGTGTTTAAAGTCAAATTTTACATGCGTTAAAATTGAGCACCGGGATCCTTTGCAGATAGGCATTCTGAGCATAACGAGTACTTTGTGTTCGCTCAGGTTGATTGAACACACAGATCATCTTGGCTAAATTAAACTGGTGTAGCCTTAATTGGTTTATCAGTTCTGATGTTTGTCTTATTACTATTGGCTGATTTCTGACAAACTTTTCAGGTGCATTTCATTAACTTCGGCATAATTGAAAAAGTTTGTTATTTTAGTAATCACATTGAAATAAGGGAAGTTAAAAAGATTTATTACACACTGGGTGATCAATTTCAAAGCGCAAACTCATGACACTTGGAATATATGTTCTTGTAGAAATTACATTCCACTTTCTTTTGTGTAATAATAATCGAAAAAGCATTACTTTAATGAAATATAAAGTTGCTTTTTGGAAAAGTTTAATATTACATACGCTTAAAAAAAATGTTTTTTAACAAAAAAGGACTAACTTGACTGTTGTTAAGCTGATGGTCACTGACAAGGAGAGTCAGCCACAAAAGTTTACTATTTGAAAGACCGAAAAGTAAGGTGAAAAACATGCTATAACAAGATACACAGCAGAAGGCATAACCTTAGCATTGAGAAAATCATAAGCTATGTCAAATTAGGTGTCCTCTTTAAGACATTGTTTTTTGGATGAATATGAGAGACACCAGACCAAACGATACAGATGAGCTACTAAAGCAACTTTTAGCAGAGCCACTTATTGATCGTTTACATTCTACACTGTGTTGATTCAACATTTCATGCAAAATGATGTCTGCAAAAGGATCCCATAGTAATGAGCACATATTCAATACAGAACATGGCCAAACTTTCTGAAAAGCCCTTTTTTTCTGTGCAGAATTTTTAGCATTTATGTTACATTACCATTCCCTGAGGAATAGAATATTTAGAAATGGAAGCTTGAAATATGTCCCTCCAATTAATCAATTTGTGAGTTTTACTTTTTAAAATTCAAATAATAAGATTAACAAAACAATAACCTTGTAAATTACTGAAACTATCGTCTCCGTTTGGAAACTTGAGAACACAAAATGATCCATGTTCTCTGCTTATTGGTATTTAGCTTTGTCATTGCTAACAGCTTTTCCTTTTTTTTTTTAAAGCTTTTTTTTTTTTATCCTTAATTAAAAAAAAAAAAAACAAGAAAAAACAGACATCTGGAATTCATTATCAAACCTTCTGCATATCCTTTGATATCCCTTCATCTTCTTCTGATGCCAACTGAGTGCCAACCGAGCAGCGCTGCAAAAACAGCCATGTTTTAATGTTTTAATGGCTGCATTGACTTAGAAAAATATAGAACTTTAGACAAATCCTGAGTGACAGAAAGAATAAAAGCAAAACCCATTTGCAAATGTACATTTAACCAACTCGTGTCTTTCTCATTAAACCACTGTAATGGCTTCGTTTGTTTTTCCTTTTTCTTTCAAATTGAAAACACCACGGACTTAATTGTACTTATCCCTTGTCCATCATAGAAATGCACAGCCGCGTGTTTCTGTATGGACAGCCTCGGAGAGGGTGGGTGGGAGAGAAAAAAAAACAAAAAAAACAATGTGGGTGGGCTCTTTTAATGTGTCCATATAAGCCATTTTCTTTCTCTTTTACTCAGTTGAATTAGTTACCTGAGAGCAAAAGGAAGTCTGAGGGAAAGGAAGCAGCTGGAGTGAAGTGGTGGGGTGGGTGTGGAGGGTATTTTTCTGAGACGTGGCGCCCATGCAGATGAGACTTATCTTGGTCGACCATGTGCGCGCAGAGCCCCTAAACTGCCAGTCCTCAAGCATTGACTTGCTGTCAGCTCTGTCTGTTTCGCCTGGATTCGAAAAGGCTGCTGCGCCTTTCATTTATTATAAGCAAAAGGGAAAAGGGAGAGCGGAGAGCTGGGGGGAAATTGTTTTGCTACTTTCTCGTCAGTTTGTTTTTCTCCATGTGAGACCGAGGTTTATCTATAAGTCGGCTGCAGATACGGAATAGGGAAATGTGTTGTTGATAGCAAACACAAATCCCTTCGGATGAGTAACACTGCCCCCCAAAAAAAGGAGTTTTGTGCCGTATTATTTACAGAAAACATTGGTTTTACCATAACAGTTTAAGGAAATGCGTTGAAATGTCTGATACATTAAATTAGCCCTTTTGGAAATTTTTATGAAAACAAAACTTAAAATGATTTCATGGTCTCTAAACTGTTTAAAAAAAGTTAAAATGATATTGAGCTGGCACATTTCCTCGTATTATAAATGGAATATAATAAAATAGGGTTTTAGAAAAATGATTTCCCATCACACTCAAATACTTCCATCCATCCATCCATCCATCCATCCATCCATCCATCCATCCATCCATCCATCCATCCATCCATCCATCCATCCATCCATCCATCCATCCNTCCATCCATCCATCCATCCATCCATCCATCCATCCATCCATCCATCCATCCATCCATCCATCCATCCATCCATCCATCCATCCATCCAGTTTTAAAACCAACACATAACTCCTCCAGAAATGTCTGCAATAAATATTAAGTAAACATTATATTTATGTGTGACTGAGAACTTTTAAAACGTTAGTGTGGATATCTGTAGGATTTGGACATGAAGAGGGAGTTGAAACTCTAAAACCTGCAGCTGACAGTTTTACTGTTTTCATTTCTCTTTTGACATTTCCTTTATGTTACACATTTAACTAACAGCTTACCTTTCCATCTTTAAGGAGTCCCTGGAAGTGACTACATCAATGCCAACTACATAGACGGGTACAGGAAGCAAAATGCTTACATTGCTACCCAGGGAGCTCTGCCGGAGACATTTGGCGAGTTCTGGAGGATGATCTGGGAGCAGAGGAGCGCCATTGTTGTCATGATGACCAAGCTAGAGGAAAGATCCAGGGTAAAGAACCACAGTTTGGACCATTTGTTGTTGTAATATTAATCAATAACACAAGGGTTTTCTCAACCCCTATTTTATGTTGTTTTACAGTTTTGGCTACTTTTGTAGACAATATGAAGGGTCCAAATGATTCATTCAGCTCATTACAACTGGACAGCTGTAATGACTCAACCTTTAATTTATGTTGGAATAATTTGGTATAAAATTGACTTTTCTATTGTACCCATGTAAAGGGATCCAAAGGCCAATTATAGCAGGGAAACTCCAGACCCTAAAGTACTGATTAAAAGCAATAACTTTTAAATGTGAAAAATTGAAAGTTGCTGATCTTCTAACTTATTTTGCCTTTTGCTGTTTTAAACTATGGTTCATTTGAGAGCAAAGTCTGTCTCTGTGGAGTATGAATAGCAAATGGAGCTTATGTTTTGATGATAATTTTAAGCAGCAGATGTGAAATATGAGCACCGTTCTTGTCAGCTACCAGTGGCTCTTATTTCAAGCAGAACCTTTTCTCTGTTTTGCTTTTTAAAACACTGCATATTCCAAGTACAAATAATTATACTAGTAAATGCTTTTTCTATTGCTAAAGAGTCTCAGAGAATCATGTACTATACGTTAAGCAATCTTTTAATGATAACTAGTCTTGAATTTAGTCTTGGAACCACATTAGTGCCAAAATGATTGTGAAACAACAGCAATTGTTCGGGAGCTTGCTTATTTCCTGTCCAGGAGCAGCCATACTTCATCTTCTCAGCTTAAATAACGATACTACAATTAAACAATGTTTTACTGCAAACAGTAAAATTTCTAATTAGTGATTCAATCTTGGCAGTTATAAGATTTGCTTGTTCCATACAAATATCTCAGGCCATTTCATGGATTGGGGAATTTAAACCAGTCAGCAGGAATGAGGAGCAAATGGATCAATGTTTATTTATGTCCTTAATGCAATGTGTAAAAACCTAAAATACAATGCCTTTGGAAGAAAAAAGACTTCTGATTCTTCTTGACATTTCCCAGATTTTAAAATAATAACCAGAAACCTCATTGTATTGGAAGATTGTAACTAAAAATTAACCAATATAAATTCCTGTCAACCTAACTTGACAAAATGGGCAATTGCACAACTTCTTTATTGTGTTGTCAACAAATCTGACCTCAATGGAAGAATGGAAAGATGAAAATGGTCAAAAAGCGCTCTAAGAGGTCTCAGGCCAAAAAGATTTTTTTTTAAATGGAAGAAGGTGGGTTTTTCAGACGAGATGTTCAATCGCTGCCGTCAAACGGAAAGAGAAACACTTCCTCAGCCATAACTGCAAGCTTTAGTTCACCCTCTAAAACATGTATTCAGAGCTAGAATGACAAGGTTCAGATAAAAGCATAGTCAGGAATAGGTGTGGACCTGCCAAAATCTGGATGTCCATGCAATAGAATGTGGCAGAAACTCAATCTTACTTAGATAAAACATTTTTCCCAAAGATTGAACAAAAATTGTATCCAACCGAAATGCAAGAAAAAGTGTAAGTGTAACACTAAACACAAAGGAACTATGATTTTGAAGGGATATTAAAAAAAGGAATGTACATTTCCAAAAAATGGTTAGTATAAAAAAGTACTGTACAAGAATGAGGAAAAAGGTTTAAAACCCATGTATGCTTTTCCTCCCTTCGAAATGATGGACTGTTGTGTTGATTGTTCATGAAATCCACATAAAAACAACAACAATAAAAAAACAATATTATAGATATTACACGACAAAGAGAAAACGTTTCAAAAGGGTGAATTCTTTTGCAAGCAAACTGGAAGTTGTTTTCTGTATAACATTACATAAATATAGAGCAAAAAGCATAACTATGGATGGATTCTATTAACTGTGCTGCAGGTAAAATGTGATCAGTACTGGCCCACAAGAGGGACGGAGACATACGGTCTCATCCAGATAACGTTGCTGGACACAGTAGAATTGGCCACATACTGCGTCAGGACATTCTCCCTTTTTAAGGTAAGGGTTTGCATTTATGCAGCCTTGGGTCTGTAAAGCGTTTTCAATGCGCGCTGCGTTAGTCACACGTGTTTTATTATTTCAGAATGGCTCCAGTGAGAAGAGGGAGGTGAGGCAGTTCCAGTTCACTGCCTGGCCAGACCACGGGGTACCGGAGCACCCCACTCCATTCCTCGCCTTCCTGAGACGGGTGAAAGCTTGCAATCCTCCAGATGCGGGGCCCATGGTGGTGCACTGCAGGTGGGAAACAATGCGGTTTTACAGAAACATCCTGGAGCATGAAATTGATTTATTTCCTCTCCATTTGCCAAAATGAATAAATGAATACACTTGACAGAAATAAATCACCTTCTTTGTTATTAGATTCTCATATTTGAGTCATTTGCGTTCTGATAATATCTAAGACAGACGGTCTTTTCATAAGGAAACACAGTACATTGCCCTACAACCAGGCCCATCTTGCTACATTTTCCAAAAGCAGTCAAGCTTAAAATGTGTTAGCAACACCACAGCACTAAAAAGTACCAGTTTTATTTCCTTTAGCAATCCTGAAAGCCTTTTCCCACTCAGTGACACAAACACAAGCTGACCTGTTTTTTTTCCTTTCCTGCATCAACAACTCACATGTCTCCTCATCTCTTTAGGGTTAATGCACCCAAATCTGGCTCCCCAACTTTGCCCCCATCAGTTACGGGAGCAGCAGGGCTCCCCACAGTGAGCTGCAAAACATCAACAGAAACAGGATTAGGAAGTAGTGACACAGAGTGCAAAAGATACAAACTTTTATCAAAGTGACAAAAAAAAGGAAGAGGGATTACTGAAGACTTACTATAGAATTACCACATGCTGAAGTTAATTAATGCTAGTTGCAGAGAAGCCCCCCGCCTAAAAAAAAAAGACTAAACTCTGAAGGAAAATGTGGGAATTAATGTCACACTGCAGATTGGAGTTTTTAAATTCCTCTGGCTTCCCATCAGATAGTCGTGTCCACCATCCAAATCCCCAATCATGTCCTTTTTATCATTGCACGTTTCATGTTAAATAGAGGAAGCTGCTATATTTGCATGCCTTCAGAGCAACACAAGGGGAGTGTTTCGGTTAGGCTGTCTAAAAGTTGTAAAAAAAAAAAAAAAAAGATTTTGTGCTAAAGGACTTTATAGAATGTTCTCAGCTGGTGAAGCTGTTTTTGCAGAGTAATTGCCATCATTTACAAACGGTATTTATTTTATGTTAATGTAAGGATAGACAAATATGGACGTCCACCATACATAAGCCAGAGCAGTGGATGGTTAATCCATCCCACATAGGATGTACAGAAATATGCATTTGATGGCATTCATGTAAAATCTGTCCATTCATCTGCTGTCGCTTGTCCATCATAGTCACAGGGGGATGGTGCTTTTCTCCAGCAGTCTATGGGAGAAAAGCTGGATACATATGGCAACATACAGACATACGATCTTGCATGCACTCACATGTAAGAGTATTTAAGAGATGCACATTAAACTACCAGACATGCTTTAGGACAATGCAGAGGCTGGAATAAAAAAAAAAGAACATGCATATGCAGGGAGAACTTTTAAACTCCATGCAGAAACACAGCAATCTGCATAAGCAAAGTGCTACAAAATGTTGCATTGTCTTCTTGTTCCAGTAGCCCACTTGTCATCATAGTGTCTTACGTAGTTCCTCATGACTTCACGCAGACCTTATTTGACTGGTTGACGTCTAAGCCGGTATGGTTCTATGTTTTTTTTACTCTCATACCATGAGATAGACAGCTTTAGTGGTCTTGTCCAATAGTCTTGTCATCACTGGATGATGTTTTAAGCCTCTATATCCCTATGATGTATACAGTATGCTCCATGCATTCAAACCCCTGTCTTCTGCAACTTAGTTATTCAGTGTGATTGTTGTGCCCGTGGTCATCAGAGCACTACCTGGAGAAACATCAGAGATCTCAGTTCAGAAATGCACAGTTCTATGGACAGCTAGGATACTGCAAAGAACCCTCAAGCTCTGAGGCGTCTGGTAGAGGATCCTAGCTAAAGAGGAAGAAACCACCAATCCCACTTAGTAGTACGAGGGTTGGATGAGAGAGCAGTTTTCTCCTCCTCAACCCCGTGCTTTTACCTTCCTTCGCAGTGTATGCATGATTATCCTCATACTTTCTCACCTCCTCTCTTATAGCATATTTTCTACATGGCTTAATCCAAGCATTAAAAATGTTATTCATTTTCTTAAATATTTATTAGCAGGTTTATTATAATGTTGAGATATATGGTTATTTGGCATACAATGGTATGTTTAAAGATTAACTACACATAAAATCATGTTTTTGCAGATAAAATGTATAAATTTGGCCCTAAGACTAAGATATACATTTATTTTTTTGGATTTATGTGATGCTCCCTTGTTTTAAAGCATAATATAAGATAGCTAAGGGCCCTTTTTGAAAAAGAAAATTTATAGGAAAAACTTTAATATTAAAATACAGCATTTAAATGTTCAGAAATAACTAAGTCGGCTGTGTTACATGAAGTCTTGCTGTAAAAATGTTACACTCCACCTGTTTTGACTGAATCCAGCTGTGCTTTTGGACATACCCAGAAGTCCAACACACACCATCATTGCTGGCTTCCCTACAACCAAAGACCTAATGCTCCATGAAATTCAAGCTTCACTGACAGGTTAAGCAACATGCAGGAAACCTTCCCTGCGGAGAAGCTTATACATAGTCCCTTTCATTTCCCTTAATACCAAACCAGTTGACACAATCTCGCTCAGCGTTAAAGTCTCCTAAGGCAAGAGATCAAAATCCACTGTTGTTTCCAAAATGCTGATCAGTCTGTGATTGACAGGAAATAGGACAGCAGATATCAAGTGCAAATGTGAAAAAGCATCTAAGAAAAATGATTTATATCCCTTTGTAATTATTTTTGTCAATACTGTCAATAGTGTCAATATTTGTATGTTGGTTTCATTAACTGCCATCAAATATAAAAAAAAAAATGTCAGCTAGTTTTACCTTCTATAATAATTTCTATTCAGCTACATTGGAGGATATTTGGACATAAATTAATTGTTAAACTTTATGGCATATTGACCTGATTTAAGTCTGGATTTGGACATTTCACAGAATTTCTGCCGTACTTCCTAAAAGCCTGTCAGCTTTTTTGCCACGTTGTGTTACTCACACCATCAATAGTTCCCGGAAAATTATTCTTTAAAAGCCTGGCAATCATCACGATGAGACATTTATTTGCTCTTTGAGAATTTTTGGCAGACTGCCAAATCCTAAGAAAGCGGCTCACTTCTCCATATTTTCTCTATTCTCTAAGTCTGTTTTTTTGGAGCTTAAAACCTTTAGAAATTGCCTTAAGACATTTTCCAACTTAATTAATGTCAGTGACTTGGTTTCTACTCTTTGACTTTTTTTTTGTTTGTACTTTTTCGCCCATGTCATGCTGCCAGACAGGCGTTATTTAAGGATTGGTGTGGCCAGCGGTGCCAGTTTTTGCTTGTTCTGGGTTCTGGCTAAGCTCCTTGTTCTGCTCTCCAACCAATCAGAGGGCAGAAGTTTGTCTCAGTTCTGGGGCATGATAAAATTCAATATGGTACAACATTGTGTCCAAAAAAAGTCTCCCTATTCTCAGCAGCATACAGTGGCTAATAACAACTGACAATGCATTGACGAATTATTTTTTTTTTTTTCTTTTTGAACATGTGCTCCATTTTTGTATGCTGCTCTGGTCAACTGCCCATTTATGCCAAAAACCAGGACTGGTGACCAGTGAAGTGAAACCCCTGAAAAAAAGAAAAGAAAAGAAAAAAAATGGCATTAATCATATTATTTTTAATGCAGCACCAGAACAGTTTAGATAGCTTAGTGTGCCTTTAAAAAATGGGAAAAATTTTTTTATATGTTCCACTTATGTCTTACTGAATCTGAAATTTGCTAAACGTAAAATATTTAAACCTCATAGCTAAGTAAAAACAAATTCTTAACTGCTTTTAACATTATTGATGCCCAAAGGTCATACTTACAATTAAAAGTCAACCTTTAAAAAAAACACCATTGACTTGAGGGTAATAAATCATTTTTATTTTAACATTTTTAAGTGTTAACACACAGAGTAAGGACTTGATTTAAAGCTACCCCACTATAAGCTATCCATATACCCCAATGAGTTTAATTTACTATATGTCTGGATATTTTTTATAGACAGAGCAGCATAAAAAATGGAGACAGGCCAGCTGACAGCTAGAGATTTTACAACAATACATATGTAATTGCTTTCACTGCTGCTAATGCTTTATCTGCACAGGACCCGTTGCAGCTGTGCCGTGCGCTGCTTTTTCCTCCCGTCCAACCCCCGTATTCCCTAAACTCCTGGAAAGCATATTAGCCTGACACTTTAGCGTGTGTGTCAACGTCCAAGGCGGCTGCTTTTGAATAGCTGAAAAGGCAGTGTCAGGTCATTAGCGTGGTCAGCGTGCCAGCTCCCCTTTAACTGCCAAACGTACTGACAGCTTTCTGCACCAGCTCACCCCGACACCCCATCACTTCTCAAAAAAGAAAGGAAAATTACACTCGCCTTTTGTGGTCTTCTATTTAAGGGGGGAAAAATGTAGGCGATGTGTATTTTTTGCGGCTCCAGCTTTAGGAAACAAACTTCGGGGCAACGCAAGTTCAAAATAACTGTCTTCTGTTCTTTCTTTCCTATTCCTCATCTTCCTCCATCTTTGTCCATCTAGAACCACGCTGTCACTCTGTCATTTACTCTCTCACAGGCCATCAGTCTCCCATATTCAGGGTTTCTCTGAAAAATGTTTTCAGCTGCAGTGATGGAGGGAATCTGTAGTCTATTTTTTTTCAGTCCCCTTGTCCTTACACTCAAGGCTTTCTAGGTGTTTTCAGACATGGAAGTGAGTCATTCGGCAGTTTCCTCCTTCGGGATACATTCATATTTCTTAAAGCCAAAAGATGTCCTTTTTCACTTAAATGCACCATGTAATGATGAGGGTTTATCTCATAGAAAGGCAAAGAAAATATTCTCTTTCATCTATTTTGAAAGTGATCATTAGATCATTTGCTTTAGCCACTGACTCCCATGTGTGTCTTTATACCATTTGCAGCATTATGGTTCCTCTGCAGCACAGCACATTAACTACACTCGGCCCCTAGGGACCAGCTTCGCTGCCTCTTGAGCTTCCCTACACAACCGATTCTCTCTCTCACAACTAATGAAAAACAAATGCCTCTTCAGGCGAAAGAGGAAGGCACACAGGGATGACTCACACTCCGTAGGCACGTCCACCAAATGAGTTGAATTATCTATTTATCTTTTTGGGCCAAATACAAGGACGCTACTTGTTGAGGCCAAGCTTTGTGTGAGGTGGAAGGAGAAGAAATAAACAAAATGAAAATGTAAAACATGACCATTTTAAATGTTTTAATTTAGTTTTCTATCTAATAAGTTTTCTATTTAATAAATTTGTAACAATCTTAGACTCTGAGAGGTTTCTTGTTCATCATAATGCTGTTTGTTCTCCTGTAGTCCCTAACAAACCTGTTAAGACTCCTTTTTACCTTTTATTCTCTTCTTTTATTAGCAAATTTTGAATATAAAGGGCCTAAACACACACAAGACTTAACATTTTTTAGTAAAAAAACAAAAAAATAATTTTCCTTCCGCTTACAGATAATGTTCTACTATGTGTTGGTCTACTAAGTACAATCACAATAAGAACATTAAATTGCAAATAAGTTCTGACAATATGTAGAAGAACTTTATTTTTACAAAATACTTTTAAAAAAGTGATATAACTTGTACTCAAAAAACATAATTTCAGTTGTAAAGAGAAAACATTCCTAACCCATGAGCGGTCTGCAGAGACGGCAGCAGCGATAGCAAGTATTTTAATCCGCCTGCAAACACAGGTCAAAAACAAACAGTAAAATCTTTACTTTGTTTTTTAACTTGTGTTTTTTTGCACATCATTGTAAGAATGCAGCAGCATGAATCTGAATGAAGAGACTTTCATTTCAGTGCCTCTTAATAAGCTCTTATGCTGTTCAGGTGCAACCTGTTAATCTAATGGGCCTAATTGTAGTCAGCAGCACTTCTCCGAAGTTGCCTGGCACCGATAACAGAGCTCTGAAAATGGACGCTTCTCTCATATTAGCAACAGTTGATCATGTGTGCTGTAGTGGCACTTTTCTCAGCCAAGAGATAAAGGTGGAACATTTCTCACATAAGTGCATTAATTTCTGATCAGGTGGAGAGCACAGGTGGGGTCTAGAGGCGAAACAGTTTGGAGCCTGCCTCAGGCTAAGTGCCAACCCTGCACCACTTCATATTCAATTATCCTACAAGTTTAATGGCTCTTTGTTACATGAGCAAACTTGGTGGAGAGTGTAACTTTTTGGTCCTTAATCAGCAAACTTCTAAAAGATATCTGTTCTTCTGTTGCTGGAGATCAGGTCTGTTGGAATCATTATGTTAGTCCAACTGCTCGATGCAGTATTAGTTTAACTTTTTAAATCAAACCCAGTATTTTATTTCATTATGAAGATAAAGTGACTTTTTTTTCCAAAGACTTAAGGAAGAAACATAATTTTGTTCTAAAGTTGCTTAAAAAGATATATTTCTCTTCTAATAGTTGTAATTAAATCGTATAAACATATAAGTATGTGCAAGGTTTATAAGGGAACATGTTCAGTTAGTGTTTGGAGACATAGCTGCAGTTATCTTTTGTTGCAAATCTTCTGCAAGATGATTAAGTTGTTTGGTTTTTGATGCTCAGATATACATTCTTACATCAAAGTAAACTTGGTTTAGACGCATTTCCACGTCCACAATTCAATGAAAGTTCTTTTCCAGCTATGTCCAGAATGCAAAAGTAAACCTGCATTGATGATTGTAATGTAGTATATGTTGCAGCTCTAATGTAAAAAAAAAAAAAAAAAAAAAAAAGGCTATGTACAACAGCCAAAGAAATATGGACTAATAAAATAATAGGTTCATTTCCAGGAAAATAAATAAAGAATATCTTATAGTTACATACATTTTCCATACAAGCTTTTACCAGCAGACCTCCCACCGTTTCTGATTGCAGTGCTGGGGTCGGCCGCACAGGCTGCTTCATTGTGATCGATGCCATGCTGGAACGTATCAAGCATGAGAAGACCGTGGACATCTACGGACATGTAACGCTCATGCGTGCCCAGCGCAACTACATGGTGCAGACAGAAGACCAGTACGTCTTCATACACGACGCGCTCCAGGAGGCCGTCAACTGTGGCACAACCGAAGTGCCCGCTAGAAACCTGTACGCCTACATCCAGAAACTGACCCAGATAGAGGGTGGAGAGAATGTCACTGGCATGGAACTCGAGTTTAAGGTACAGACTGAGAACACAACTGTAAAGTGTCCTTTAATCTCCATATTAGAATCCATTTTTATATCATATATTGGAGTTTACACACAGACCTCCAGACAGCCTGTGGTTTCCTTTTTATTTGATATAACCTCCTTACGTAATGAAATGACTGATGATAAACACCCTCCTTTTCTTTCCTCTTCCTTACTTCCTCTCTTTGGAGAAGCCATGGTTTTGGTTTGCATAAAAATCTCTGGGTTTTGGAGGGTTTTTACCTGATATGAAACATTTACAAATAGAAAAGGAGCAGCAGACTTAGAATTTATATTAATTATTCGAACCAGGTTTGGGTAGCAGTCTCCAATCCTTGATTAAACTGTTCTTTTCCTTGACTTGCTGTCTGTTGTGATAGTCTACAGTGAAATAATAATATATTAATCAGACCTACTGTACAAATAAGGCAGCTTTGCACATGCATACCTTGTCTTTTCCTTTATTTGGTTTTCTTTATAAAAAGTAATTTCTCAGTAAAAGTCATGTGAAAGCCTTCTTTACAAAAGAAAAACAGATTGCATCAATATCAATTTCAGTCATAACCAGTCCAATTGTATAGTACCTACAGTGCTGTACTAGTTTCGTGAGCTGGAGTACATGATAGTTCTTTGCATAAAATGCATTTAAGTCAAAATTGTAATAGATTACAGGAAAATTAATCACGCATAATTCTAATCGATAAAGGGTTTAATAACAATGGATCCAGTTGTTCATCATTGAAAGCAATTTGGTAATTGAAAAAAGTACCTACTTCCTTTTCATAAGAAGATAACCTCGAACAGACCTAGGCTCGGAGTGAGCAGCCTGTGATTTGAGAGAACAAAAAGAAGTTGAGAGAAAAAACACATTACAACTAATCTTTCTATGGCACAGAAAAGCAACAGGTACACAGTTAATCTTAGCAATATTTATTTTATAGCTTTTTCCAAGATAAAAAGAATGCTAAATAGCACTACACAGGATGAGGTTTCTGTACAATGAAATGGAGGGAGAACTTCAAGTTAACAGCAATTTGCCCAGGATAGAGGCAGTTATACATAAATGCACTTAGATATTATTTGCAATGGCAGCAGGAGATCCATCAGTATGTAAAGCAATGCATCATGCCTAAACACACAGAGGTACTGAATTTCTATTAAAAATGCAAAACAAAAAGATTTTCCTCTCTTGTTGTATACTTTTGATGTCCAACTTTGTTTTTCTCCAGAGAAGACAAGAGCTATCCATTGTTGCTCTTATTGGTGTCGCACTGATCCAGATCTGTTTCTTCTTACCATGCAGCGTTTAGCCAACACTAAAGCTCACACGTCACGATTCATCAGTGCCAATCTCCCGTGCAACAAGTTTAAAAACCGCCTTGTTAACATAATGCCATACGAGTCCACACGGGTCAGTCTTCAGCCCATCAGAGGGGTGGAAGGCTCAGACTACATTAATGCAAGCTTTATCGATGGGTACAGGTAAGCTTCAAGACTTTAAGGTTTGATTATAACTGGATTTTCTTTCTTTAAGTCATTTCACCCGGTTGCATCCAATTGTTTTTCCCCAGGCAACAGAAAGCTTATATTGCAACACAGGGGCCATTGGCAGAGACAACAGAAGATTTCTGGAGAATGCTGTGGGAGCACAACTCTACCATTGTAGTAATGCTGACCAAGCTCAGAGAAATGGGCAGGGTAATTGATACTTCCCTGCTCTAAACCCTTTGTTCCGACTTTGTTCTGTAACCGAAAATACAATACATCAAATATCCCATTCAACTCCTGTGAAGAGGAAAGTTGTGATTCACTGAGGTCTATTTTTCCAGGAAAAATGTCACCAGTACTGGCCAGCAGAGAGGTCAGCCAGATACCAGTACTTTGTGGTGGACCCCATGGCTGAGTATAACATGCCCCAGTATATCCTGAGAGAGTTCAAAGTGACTGATGCCAGGGTAAGCTGAGTGTTTTTTGCAAACGGAACATTGAGAATTTGAAAAACTACAAGTTTGGGTTGTAACCCATCCTTGACTCATGCAGAATCACTAAATCGCCTTAAGGTCAACTGGAGGATCATACCACTTTAATCAGCCTCATGTTTTTTAGGCTTTTGTAGCAACAGATTTTTAAAGACAGATGAGAGTTTAAGGCAGAGCAAATGATTGTCAAAGCATTGAGTAATTCAGTTACCTGATTTTAATTAGCACATGAGAAGGCTTAGAAAAACAAGGTTAAGGACTGTTTTTAATTAACCAGATCTGTTTGGATTAGTCATTACGTCAACAGATTGGCATTTTCTCAAATATTTGTTTACACCAGCTCGTGGCCTTAAGTGCATTGGAAGTGTAAAACCAAATTTGCACAAATCATGACACTTGTCAGAGTGTAATAAGAAAAAAACTCAAATGTAAGTGGTGCCGGCAGCATTGAGCTGCCACAGTTTTTAATTCCATCAAAGGCTCAGACGGATAAATGGTGCAGCCTCCCACTTTTGTGGAGCGTGTTACACTGTCTCGTCAATGGGATTGGTTTCCTTATCAAGGGTGGAGAGCAGCACTTAAGCAACGCACACCCTAAAAGTAAAAATTCTCCCCCTAAAACCTGTCAAAAGCCACACATCAAAGCAATCGGCATCTTTAGTATATTAAATACTTTTGGGTGAAATAATAAAAGGCATTCTTTGATGCTACCTATGGAACACATTTTCAGGACTAACAATTAGTATTTGAAAACCCCAACATGTTTTTCTGCTTGTGCCTGAAGCCTGAAAGTTTTTTTTTTTTCATACATACAGAATATTAAGAATGATTGTATAAATGTGTTTCCCCATCAAAATAAACATTTGAAAAATTGAAAACATGATTTTTGCTGACAAGCAAAAAAAAGTCCCTTTTATCATCCAATTATTTTAGGCTTCTTTACAGAGGTCAATAAGTACAGGCTTTCTATCTACTACTAACTTTGGATACCTTGAATAGATTGCGGATAGGATTTGATTCACTTTGGATATCCAGTCATAAAAATGTATTTTATGGATTACTAACAAATAAAACAGTTGAAGATGGGAAGTGGGTATAAGGCATTTGTTAAAAGAGAAAAAAAAATGAATATATGTATTTTTGTGCCAGATATAAGCAGTACCTTATGCAATGTTTGGTTTAATGCTTTTATACATTTAAAACCCAATACATGCTAAGACTAACTGTCCATAAAATTGTACCATTTTACTGATAGCATATAATAAATGTTTTCTCCCACCTGTTTAAAAGTTCACAGTGTTTTTAGAATTATTTCTAGATTTCTTAAAGGGGACAAATCGATTGTAATCATTTTTAACTGGCAGCTCCGATCAAGTATTTGGGAAAGGTGATGTTATTTGTTGTCAAACAAGACGATGTTTTTAAGGTCTTTAATTTAACTGTGAATAATTCAATTATTGCACAATATCTGTATGTGAACACAGTGCTATTTTTGAAACATCAACCTTCTTTTTTTATGTCCTGCCTCCAAAACATATTTTGACAAGGGTCTAATAAATATGACACTGAATTGAAGTAATCGGTGTGGGCAACTTTTCATAAAGCAAATGGAATTCTTCTTGGGTTAAGCTTATCCAATGTCTACCAATGACTAATTTCGTAACTGTTGTGAAAAATGATTAATAAAAAAGGACTGCATCTATCAAACCCCTTTTGTTAAAAGTTTCTGATAAATTATCACAATTTTAAGATTCTCAGTTTTATGACAAGATTACAGTTATGTAAATGTAGTGTACAAATCCCTTTATTGTCCCACAATGGGAAATTCATTCTCTGCATTTGACCTGTCCCCTTGGAGAGCAGTGGGCTGCCATTGTGTGGTGCCCACGGAGCAGTGCAGGGTTAAGGGTTTTGCTCAGGAACCCACAGTGGAGGCTGCGGGTATCGAATCGGGTACTTGCAACCTTCTCAGAGCACAAGCGCTCTAACCACTAGGCCAAAACTCCCCATAGCCTCCCCATAATACAGTTGTAAGGACCATTAAACATAATTTTACATGCCAGAGCGACATAGATGTCAATGTATTTAAATTTTCTTCCTAACTTTAAAGATTTTTTTTTAAGAATCAAGATAGTGTTGGAATCCGATTAAGTCAAACTACAAATAGGATTTTATTTCTATGATCAGCATTTATCATGGCCTGCTATTCAATTAACCTTTTTTTCCCCCATTTTAGGATGGACAGTCACGAACAGTAAGGCAGTTTCAGTTCACTGACTGGCCAGAACAAGGAGTGCCAAAATCAGGAGAGGGTTTCATCGATTTCATCGGCCAAGTACATAAAACAAAAGAGCAGTTCGGCCAAGATGGTCCTATCTCAGTCCACTGTAGGTAAGTGATTAAGCAACATGACCAAACACACCGGACAGCCTTTGGTTTTAATCATCCAAATTCATGTAGTGAAACACAATATAACTGTCTTTTCTCTGTTCATCTGATTTGAAAAGCGCCGGAGTTGGTAGAACCGGAGTTTTCATTACCCTCAGCATTGTCTTGGAACGGATGAGATACGAGGGTGTAGTAGACATCTTTCAGACGGTGAAAATGCTACGGACACAAAGACCAGCCATGGTACAAACTGAGGTGAGTCTCCTGAAAGAATAAGAGAGATGTGATTTTTTCTGAAAAGAGAAAAATCTTAAATGATTTTCAAATAATTTAACAGATAGACAAATATTTGGTGTGCATTTCCTCTTTTCTCCCAGTTCTACAAAGTTAGTACTTTGCAGAATTGCGTGTTATTGCTGTTAGAGCTGTAAGTCCTTCAGTACATAGCCTGTTTCATGCTGAAATTAACGGGTTAACGCAGGGCTTCAAACACGGGTTGATCCACTAACAATCGCAAAGAAAATCTGGAAAGTAAACAATGTAGAACAACATGGAAGGAAGCCAAGGCATAGTAAGAGTTCTTTATTGTTTGGCCCTTTTTTCTGTCTGAATCCCTCTTATTTGTGCTGTGCAATGTTTATCAAGTGTAAACAAAGCTGTTTTGGCTCGTTAGATCAGACGTGACTGGCACTGTGTGTTGGTGTCCTTGCGTTGCTCTCAATGGTATCACGTAAATTAGCGGGTCAACCCAGGTCTGATGTTCCCACTGTATGCCGTCAGTGAGCTGTTCCCGCTGCCACTAAAAGCCGATTGTTCCCAGGTTTAAACAGGTTTTTGGGGGCCAGTGGAAAAGGGCAATATGTTTCTACCAGCTTTCCACAATATGTTACCAGATTTCCACATCTAGAAACAGACATTTCTGCAACAAAAAAAAATTCAACATACAATAGCCTACGTTCTGTCCAAAAGGATCTACCCTAATGAGGAACAAGGAGAGGATATTTCTCCAGGTCTATTTCTTCAGTCTTGTGAGAATACCTCAACTTAATAAAATTTAACATTGGTCAATTTTAGCACTTGAATATGCTTTGAACAAAACTATCCAATTGTGACCTTAGCTGTTAAGAGTCATGGTCCTACTGGAAGGTGGGCTTCCACCACACCACCACCACGCTGTTTGCAGTTTCTAACATATTTTCTTCTATAATCTCCATTTATTTAGCTTCAGTTTTTAGGGTTTTTATCAGGTCCAAACAACTTCCTTGACATGGTGAACAAAAGCAACCCAACAGTATGCTTCTGCCACTAATATATTTCAGGGTAGAGATTTTTCCGAAAGATTTCTGGAACTTTTTTGGGATGCAATTTTGCATGTTGGCCAAAAAGTCCCTCATCTGCCTGGAATACCCTCTCCAAAGTTTTGGGCGTGTCCCCTTCATTGTTTATAACAAGCTTTAAAATTAGACCTCATTCTGACTGTTAGCTGAACTTCAGCAATTTAACTGAAAGGTTAAAGTTTGTATGCAGTGCTAAAAATTGTCACGTAAACAACAGATCTTCCCACCACTTTTTTCCTGCCCTGTTATGAAAGGTGGAGGCCATTATGTTAGTATTATTTCCATACTGATGAATAAAACTCTTTTTGTGAGAAGTTCAAAGTAAAGATTTTTTTTTAAATGCTCTTTTGCTGCTTTTCATTTAATTCAGAGTTTAAAAAGGTGCTGAATTCAAATGCACATCAATCTTGTCAGATTTTTGGTTTTGGTTTTGCTTCCACTCTAAAATTATGTGTTCTTTGTGTTGTTCAGTCACATAAAATCAACCCCAAAAATGCAGTTAATTTGGTGGATCTTTACTATTTAAAGTTAAATGGACTTCTGACTTTAAGTAGATATACATTTTTTTTCTGAACAGGGAAAAAAATAATTAAACATAAAGAACAAGTAGTATGAAAATACATGCACTGGGAATCCCTTTACAAAGCACTGCAGGGTATTGCATTAGAGTGTGGGTGACTCAAAAAAGAAAAAAAGAGCTTTTGCATACATTATTTCAATGAAGGTAGTTGAAATGGCTGAACGGATTTTCAGGAATCCTAACTCAAACAAATTAACTTAAGCAAGTCTCTGTTTCAGGCCATGACTCATTTGGTAGGTGAAAAAAAAAATCTACAGTAGCTTTGTGTGCTCTATGCTGCACTGATTTCATAATTTCAGCAATGGCAGCCAGCTATAGGTAAATCTTTTTAGGATTGAAAGAAAAGTCAGATAGCTTGATATTAACCAGGATGGGCATAATGAATGATATAGAATGATTCTGTCTCAAAGACACTAAAATTTTCTCTCTTTTCAGGATCAATACCAATTCTGCTACAGAGCCGGGTTGGAGTATTTGGGAAGCTTTGATCACTATGCAACGTAAAACACCCAGTATTGGAGGACAAAAGTGGAGGGCCCTTTGGGAGGAAGAAGAACCCAAGTGAGCCTCTCTTCTGAGCCATAAATTCCTGCTTGAGAAAGTACTCCTTAACTTCTTGCTAACAGTTCATTTAAGTGTTGGATGTGAGACATGACTTGTCAAAAAAATAAGAAAAAGATGATTCCCGGAGGACCAAGTAATTCAACCCAACAAACCCAAATAAAAAAAACCTTGCCTTGAAACAGAAGCGTGATTGGGGAATCCTGACTGTTTTAGCATCATAAGGATTACCTCTTCTTTTTGTGCTTCAAGGATTCATTTTGGAGCTCATAAAAACCGAATGAACCCAACATGAGAAAAAAGTGACAAAACAGTAATGACGTCATGAGAAAGGCATCAGTGAATACAACCCATAGCGAGAGACAACGGAGGCACACCAAAATAAGGGAGGAGGCAACTCAATGCACATTGTACAAAAGGAGGGAAAAAATTAAGAAAAAACATCAAATCTGTTTGACGATTCAGTCCACACATCACATCAAGAAGACGATGCTTGGTCCACAGGAGCAGGACAGACTTCAAGTAATAATAAATAAACAAATAAATCCCCCCTTTATCCTGTTGCAATGTAATTCGTTTCAGTTTGGGGTAGAGGGTAAAGTTGAAATACAAAAGTATTGATTTAGTTTTTTAATTTTAAGTTGATGTGCTTTTATGGATTTTTTTTTTTTCTTTAAAAGAGAAAAAAATGTTAGATTTTTTTTTTTTTTAAGCTGTAGAACTGTTCTAATGTATGTGCTGTTTTTACAGAGAATCCACTTGCTCATATTCATGCACTTCAAAGTTCACCATCCACAATGAAACTTCTCAAGAGTTTTTGTTTAATTTTTTTGTAGAATTTTTCATATTTTTATTTTAGTCGTCTACCATCACTTACATGGTAACCTGATTACTTCCATTAGATTAATGGGCATATATCATCATTTCTTACAATTCTACTCTTTCATTTGTGTTTAGGGTTGAAGCTTAAGATAGTTAAATTAAAAACTTTTCTTAATCATTGGAAAATAAGATGGAAAAAAACATTGTACAATACCAAACAATAAATACAAGTCACGTTTGGAACTCTGGCATAAAGTACCTTTAACAAAGTACAAATGTAGGAAATACAAAATTTTAAATATGAAATCTCTATTCTGAGAGCTGTTGCTTGGAACCTAAACAATCTGGTACCCAACCCAGAGATTTGAAAGCTTTCCATGGTGATAAACAGTGGTGAATTAGAGGCAGCACCAGAAAAGTGGGCCCCCTCTGAAAAAACAAACAAAAAACTAAAGATATGGCATTAGCAATCACATTTCTACAAGCAGCTATAAAACAGCATTTTTTATACAATCTAGCAGCACAGAGTTGGGCTCACTTTTATTACTTAATCCTAATTACAGTACTTTGTTCAGACATCATTCTGAGAACACAGAAAACATGCTACTGAAGAGCATCTGTTTTTTTCCTCAACATCTTTGTATATTATTTAACTTCCTGTCAATCAGACCTGTCCGTCTTTCAGCAGCTAAAGTCATACAATCTGGCTCAGACGTAAAGAAATTTAGATTTATTTTAGCTAAAGATGCTGAAAGATAATTTGGAGAGAGTACTTTTATTTTATTCAACATTATTATACACCTTGAAAGTAAAAAAACAAAGATCAAAAGCAAAATATCTTACCTGATCAATCTTAAAGTCCTGAATAATAGCTGTGGTGACCACAGAGGTCTGGCTGTTGATTCCCTTCTATCAATTGTAGTGGTAGCATGAACTTACAAATGCATGTCATCATCCATATATGGTAGTGCCTTTCTTTTTTTTAGTGGGTGTGATTCAAAAGGTTCCTTTGTTTCAGACGAGTGTATTTTTAGATTCTTAAGAGGGATGATTGTTTTCTTTTTTGAAAAATTTCAGTTTTTCTTTTTTTTTACTCTAGTAAATGATGATATATGCCCTTTAACCAGGGCCTCGTGGAATCAACAGGGGTGAGCAAAGTATGAAGTTGCTGCTACAGATTATCTTAGTTCTTCCATGTTACAATGAGAAGAGAAAACTTGATGAATTGGGTATAGATATATAACTACATACTGTCAAATATGTGAAATATGTATATCAAAGTATAGATATAACATTATATATAAAGCATAAAGTTTAAAAGTCTATAAAGTATAGTTTGTGTTGGAAAGCTTTTGAGCGGGGAGTTGTGTGCCATGGGGAAAACTGAGATTTTTCACTGGAATGCACATCAGTAACATTAAAACTGTATTCTGATTCAGTGCATCTTTTCTTGTGCAATAAACGTGTTTTTAAATTTAGATGATTTTTTTTTCCTTTCAGTATGTGGAGATGTCATTAACTCATGGCTTTATTGCCCTGCCAAACCCCCCCCCCACAGCCAGCGGATAGTTAGTGTTGGAGTGTATGTTTAACTGTCAGTATGTGATTAGAGGCAATCACACTTTCATTGCCAAAACAAAGAGAAGGTATACAGTTACTGCATTTGTGATATATATACACATAATAAAAAAATATATTTTTTTTCTTTTTACATCTAGAGTGCCTTATATTTATGCCTGTTTTTATGTTTTGATTTACCACTCATGTATCCTTTGATTAACCTAGGCATTTAGTGGAGATTGAAATGTAAATTTCTTTACCGTTAGTTTTCATTTGTCACATAATGAACACACATATATAAAATATTTAAGGGTCATAGTTTTCCTTTCGGCTAAAGAAATTTGAACTTTAAAAGTTTGAATGGTAACAAGCAGCTAAAATTAACTCTGTCTTTATATATATTTATACATATATATACATATACACGCGCAGCTGGGGGAAGCAACATGTTTCATTTGCAAACATGACAACATTTGAGAAAGAAGGGTTTATCTTCAAGCCCTACAAAAAAAATTTAGTATTTGTTTTTTGTTTTTTTCTGTCGTTTGTCTTCATACATTAAACCTCAAATAGCAGATTTAGAGACAAAATGTCCCTTCTGTTGACCTGACAATCTTTATCAGTGTGCTATTTTCTTTGACTGCTAAAGTTAAAGAAAAGGTTCTTAAGCTTGTTTAAACAGCATTCCTATTTCCTCTTTAATGCTCTTGTGGGATGGCAGATTTACCACCAAATCGTCAAAAGCGGAAAGAACTAGCTCTATCACTGGGTAGCTGGTGCTATGGAGTCCAGTTCCTTTTAGGTCTAGAAGAAAAAAATAGTTTTGTCTTCTTGTTTTTCTTTGACCTGGGAGAGAAGTTACCAAATCTGTCTAAGGCAAAACTAACAAAACACTGAGCTTAAAATAAAACAAAAGTTGGTGAGCTTATTGTCTCTCACCTTTTCTTTTTTCAATGCCACCAGTCACATGGTGAATGTAGGGTAAAATACAACAGATAATTACTTTCAGCTGAATTTATGAAGACTTTAATCATTTTTGTAGTCAGCTCAAGTTCCTACATATTATTTCAAAATTAATTCTTAAACTCCAGTCTCTGTTCATTTTGCCCGCTAGCAACAACTTTTTGCAGAAAACTGAAAAAAACCCATCTGCTTTGGATTGTTTGGTGGGATATGAAAATTTCCACTCACCTCTGGGATATTTCATACTCGCTTCAACTGCTAGTAATATAGAAGAATTCCCCTATAACCTCTTCATAGGTTCCTTTATAGAAAAGTGGATTTATGATCTAGAAAAAAAAAAGTGAGGTTATGACATTGAATGCAGCTTGCTCAAAATTATTACAAAATGAATCAGGGCTATTTTCTAATCAAAGATTTGACAGCAGAGAAAAGGGCAATGGAACCGCAGTCATGGAAAAAGGGATGCAATTTAACCACTTTAGCCATTGTTTCCCAAAGTAAAGTTATGCCTTGAATTTTAAATTATTTAATTCCATTACTCATAAAAAGAACGAATAAGATTTAAAAATAAGTAAAAATAAAAGCATAATTAACAAAAATATTCACATGCTATTGCTAAAAGCAGTGGGATTTCTTTAGCATTAAACAATGCCACCTCCTTCCTCCATGAGTTTTAAAATTTCAGCCAATGAGAACATACTAGTGTAGCCATTAAAGGGCGGTCAGAATATCGAAATAGAGAAGGTGAAAACCCAGCGATACATCCTTTGAAGTGGGGTAAAGGTTGACTCGGAGAGGCAGCATTTATAATCATCTATCAGAGTTCCTAAATGTCAGTTACTGTTGGAAAAAGCGTCAGCTAAGAGCGCATTGTTTAAAACACTGTTCACAAATTAAGCTATTGATATTGGAATCCATTTTCTGGGCAGAGTGAGACTAATCCAGTAATCTTTGCTCACTCTGATCATTTACAGAAATTAAGGGCATCAAACATTTACTGCAAGAGCAGCCAAATCAGGATAGGGGTATATACAGGATGCTTGAAAAGGTCAAACTTTTAGTCAACATGAAGTTAGCATGGTAGAAGCTGAAAATGAATCACTCCGCTCTATGCTTTATCTCCCATATTTGATTATAAATGCTTGTTTTTGGGACGTCTGAGGAGCTGGTTATCCACATGTTGAAAAAGTATTTTTTTTTGTAGGTTAAGAAACAGTCTACCACCAGCTTTAAAACTGTTTCGATGGAGAGAAAAATAAACACCTTATCTAATGGCTCTATGGATGTGCATTCCAGGTGCTTTCTTTCCCCTTGTTTACTGAAGCAGCTATACGTTTTTTATTTAACCCTTTTGTCCTGATTTTTTTTTTTTTAATTAACAATAGTCTCAGAACATGTTCATTTTTCCTCATCTGATTTCTGTTATGAGTTTTTCATATGCACAGTGAAGAACTGTAGAGTGGCCAATGTCTGGCCAAGTAGGAAAGACTTGCACTTTCTCTTACCTTTGTACTATGCACTGCCCTATTGATTCTGAACCCAATAATATATTACTTGAACCCATCTCTTAAAAGAAAAACTCCTCAGACATTCACTTTGTGTGTATGTAAATAACACTGAAAGAGTACCAACCCATGGAAAAGACACAAAAAAAAAGAATTTGTGGCAAAAAAAAGAGCATTGGCTCTGTTGCCACCCTGGTTTACTCCAGCAGATGACTTCAGACAAATATGTCCCCCAACCATCTGTTCTTGTGGCTTTGCCATCCGAGCTTGGAGTGTCATTAACAGAAATAAACGTTGTGTTCTCTGCTCTCTCTATCTATCTCTCGTCTGGATGCATAGACTGATAACTAAACAACGAAATTGTAAAAAGAAAAAAATATGGCTTGTTAAAAGATTATACGATTACCTCTGATTAGTTGTAAGCGTAAACTGTTTCTTTTTCTGAATGAAAGAAGTGCTTTTTATTTTCCTACTTAGGTTACATTGGTGGAGAAAGAAATCTGTAAGAAAACCAGTTCTTTGCTGACACGAGTTCCATTTGTTATAAATGAATTCTATTAAAAAATGTCAGTGTTATGCATCAGTGTTTCACTTGTTTCCCTCTATTTCACTTTGCCTACAAAAAAAAGAGAGAAAAGACTGATGAAGCCATTTTACCCCCTGCTGGTCTGGGTCCAACACATTAACCACAGTCCTCTGGTGAAATGGGGGAAAATTGAGTCTCACCACACTTAAACAGATTTCCATTGCTCTGGTTTTTCTGTTACTGATGTAACCCACAATGAATCATCACAGGAACATCTGACAAATGAAATGATATGTTTTTTTCTCAATTTGTTATGCTTTTTTTTTTTTTTCATCAAATCAATCCCTAGTTATAAACTTTGTTCTGGTTGCCTTAGAAAGCTTCGTTAAACCAGATGGATGTGTAAAATAATAATTCAGCTTCCTTCGCAGACATGCACCCTTTTGCCCATCACTCTTCCTCCCTCCTCCACTGTTCCTTGTCTTTTTCTGTTGTTTGCAAATTTTTGTTGTAACATTTCATCAATTTTTTTTTCTTGCTTCCTTCTGCCTTTGGTTTTTCCTGGAGTCCTCCATTGTGTCATTGGCTTTTCTTTTTATGTCATTTGATTATCTTCTGGTTTATCCTCCCTCCTGTTTCATTCCATTTATGCCATTTTTTTGTTTCTGTGCTTTTCAATCCGTCTTTTTTGTTCTTCCATCTATTCTTTAGTTATTCTTTCCCCTATTAGGATCTTAATTCTTTCCCTTGTCCTCCCCTTTCATTCAGTTATTCATCCCTTCTTACAGTTTTTCCATCTCTCTTCTATTTTTAATCTTCCATCTTTTATTTGTTCAATCTATCCTTTAGTTTTTTTTTATTCTCTTCTTCTTTTGGTCATTTTTCTTTTTTCTAGATTCTCTGTATTTAATGACAGAACAGTTTGGACATATGTCCATTAATTCGTCACCTTCTGTAATTTTGAAAATATAAACAACAGGACTAGGAACTTTTTTTATCTTAAATCTTGATGACTGGAATTTCGACTTGAAAATTATTTTGAAAAAGCAAGAAATTCTGCACATTTTTCAGCGAAAAACTTATATTGCATCAATGCAATAAAATAAAAAATAACCATGATTTGAATGTTAAAGCAGTAGTGTGTTTAGATTGGACCCAAGTATTACCTTAGTTGGTGTTCAACTGTGTCAGACCATTACCCCTCTGTTCACCATAATGACTCCATAGTGATAAACAGTATTAAATGAGACATTATTAATTAAACCATTGTAAAATCCTCTGATAACTCTGATAACATATCTCTTTACTTTCTTGTGTGCGTATTATTTTGACCATTACAAGTTGCGGGCAAACAGTATGGATAGAAAGGACACGACTAAGCTTTAAAGGAAAATTGGACAATGAAAGAAGGGAATAGAGAATGGTTAACAAAAAAACACAAAAGAGGTAAAAAAAAATAAATTAAAAATAAAAAAAAAAAAGGAAAAGGGGGGCAAGCCTTACAATTACAGGGTGATATCAAGTGACAGTGATGCAACATGATCTTGAAAAGGCATTCAGATTTTAAAAAATCTATTATCAAATCCTCCCAGAAAATGTTTTATTTTACCAGTTTCATAAGGGTGTGGTCTTCTTATCCACTGGGAATGGGTGGGTGCATGAGGACCCTTCAAAAGAATGATAATTCCTCTTTTTTTGCAATGTAAGGAAAGCTTTAAGATCAACCAATGTGGGATGGCCAAGGATGTATGTCAAGGAGAATCCCAAACATGGCAGTCTGGGAGACTCGACTCGACAAGATCGACAGCAGTGAGTCAAACACCGAACATGAAAAGGAAGGAAAAGTCAGAAACACGTGAGAGAGATTAGCTGGGCCTATATTACATCTTGCACAGTTAGTCAGTACCAGGGAAGACCCGGGTCAGACTATTACTGGAGCAATGAATTCTATGCACCAGTATCCACTGGAGGATACAAGGTGTGGCACATATTGAGAGGGTATGAATTCGAACGAGAATATGCTGCCATTGTTCATCATTGATTTAACTTGAAGTTCAACAGAACAGACCATAGAGGGGTAGTCGGATCTTGTTGAAAAACTGAAAATATAATTTTTTTTTATACTAAGTTCTTTGATGAAGGTTATATTTCCAAAATTCTATCAATCACACTGCTTGGGATACTGGGGAAACTACCAAAGTGCATGTAAATAAAGTTATAGCCTGAAAATTATCTGAAAGACACGAGTGTAAGGCATTCTAAACATAACATAATTGAGCAAATGAGTAAAATGAAGTCTCCTCAGTCTGCAGTAAACCAGGTTTATCATCATCAGTGATACACCTAAATAACACTGAGCAGATATTTGCAGATCAGTAATAGTATTAAACATTTTTTTGGGAGTTTTTTTTTTTTTTTTGCTTCAAAAAATGCAAGAGCTGCCAAGTCACTGAAAGAAGCATTTTGGGATAAAGACTAGACTGCATTGAAAAAGATACAGAAATTTGAGGAGCACATTCATTTAAAGCTACTCATTTTATCTGAATAGTATAGCAGCGAGGGCCAGCGGCAGATATCCTGCCTAAGTTGTTGAAGAAAAGGTTAAAATTAGACTTAAAAGCTTAGAAAAATCCTTAATTACATGAATTCTCTACTATTTGAAAGTTTCCAATCCCATATTTAAAGGGACAACAAGATGGTAAACCGCAGCAGAGGGGTGAATGGAATAAGCTCACTTTTATCAAAATTAAGTTTAGAACCGAAATTTTGCTTCAGGAAGGATAGAACTGTGTGTATGAAGTTAGCTGGGTCATCAACATTATTTTCCTCTTATTTTGCATCCTTCTGAAATATTGAAATAAAAGCCTATTTGATAACGGTATACGGTCAAGGAAACACATTTTAAAGGCTAAAAGGGAACATTTCATAAGTGGAAAATTCTAAATTTATAAGCTGTTCAAAAATCAAACTTTTATACAAAGTGTACCAGCATCAGAAGGTAAAAGACAGTTGATTAACGATTTACAATTCTGAGCTCAGCCTGAGGGTCAGCAAGGTGTGTGTGTTAGTGCAGCGCTGGTCTCCTCAGGTACTGGTTTTAAATTTCTAGAAGTTCCTTCCTTTAGATGTGAATAAAGCAAGGAACTATCCTTTAATGTCAGCTATACCCATCTTTTGTATGATTCATTTAAGATTAATCGACAGTTGTGAGCATTTGGGAAGCAGATCCAGATCAACTGGTAATAGCTGCAGGACAAAATCTGTTGGTCATTGATAATATCATTTAGTTAGACATTAGTCTTAATTGTGTACTTAATTCGTTATATTGTCACTTTATAACAGCTCCTTTTTCATCACCATGTTTGATGATACACTGTACATGGTTCAAACTTTCAGAAATCTGCACTTTTTGCAGAAGAAATAAAAATGTCTAAAAATAGGTCTGTTGTTATACTGTATGGCAACTTGTGTGACACATCCACCTTTCTCTAACGGTTCTCAGGTTCTGAACACATATAAACAACAGCAGGACATGTTCTGGAGCTGTCAGCAGTTTTACACAGATTATTTAAAACAAGCAGTATGATATTTAAAAGTAAATGAATTACCTTTCAAGTGAGGATTTCTACAGATTTTACTGGCCAAATATTCTTTTCCTCCATTTGTAGTTCTTAAAGTTGACTAAAATTTCTT